CATCTTAACCACCATGTACAGTGCCGACCTCTGATCTTGTAGTAAAACAACCATTTACCGGGATTGCAACCAGCGGGAAAAGATAAGGAGCAAAACGGTGGAAACTTCGATATTGTTAAAGGAGGAGCACCTCTGGCTGTTGAAATGAAGTAAAAGTAAAAGAAATGTATAGAACACACCTAGACAGGTTTGTATCTAGTCAAGGTGTATGCCTATTTTTACTGCTCTTCCTTCACCAACTTAACAAAGCTGATTGGTCGGACGAAACACCAACAAATAAACTAATATCGAGATTCTTCGGGAGGCACTCTAAAACTCTGCTATCAATACTTCATCGGATCGGGGAAAAAAGTCTTGCTCACAATACATGAATAGTTAACGAAGGTAACAAAAACCACGAAGACAAGAAAATTAGGCTAAACAAAAACGAAAGCTACGAAGAAAGGCAATTACGAAAAAAAATTGTTAGCAATAAATAATCATCGTGTTCGTTTTTCTAAGGCGCTACACTTAGTTTTTTCAACACCTATAGGAGAGGAAAGCTTCGCCTTCATAAACTGTAAAAAGGGGAAGATTATCTACATGATTTTGGTATTTGATAAATGCAGACAAACGAGAGTGTTGCCGATTATGCCACATTTATGCGTCAAACAATTCGAAGCTTCAACATCCCCTCTACCCCAGGCATTTAAGATTAGTTTGTTTAAATTTCCGTCCCTTGGGGCTAAATTGTGTTCAAATGCCCTACCCAAATGCTGGATTTGTGACTGTGATTTTCTACTCGTTGACCAAGCTTTAAAAACTTGACCTTTTTGACCTTTTATTCTAAGCCATTCGCTCGCGAAAGAAAGACAAAACATGTGTGTTCCGCTGGAAATTGACACATCCGTTTCAAATTTCCCACCCCAGCCAGTCAGGGTTCAAATTCCCCACCTCCCAGTACGTTGGTTGCCTGAGGTGTGTGGAGGGGGGAATGTTAAAGCTTTTGTCTAATTTGACCTGTGGATGAAAATTAAGTTAAAAAATGATCCCCACAGGTGAAATGCAATCTTAGTAATGGCAAAGAAGAAGCCTGAAATTATAATAGTAAAAAATAAAAAAGACAGGCTTCGACGGGATTTAAATCCGTGCTTTCCAAACACTAGTTGGGTGTTACCACCAAATGACTTAGGAAGCTACACGTTGAGAGCGATCGAGAGAAGTTTAGAGAGTTTTTTTTTCTTTTCTGAAATTGCAGTTCACCTTTCTTGACAACATAAATTTCAGAGATAATTGATCATTTTTCAACGACGCTCGTCATAAACGATGGTAATTTCCTGGTTTCAGTCGACTCTTGCCTTATGAACTCTCACTATTACGGACACTAAGTCCCCTCCCACCCCCCCCTCCCACCCCCCCCTCTCCCCGAGGGTGTCCACAATAACGGGAGTCGACTGTATTCCGATGATATCCTTTCAAATGCCGCTATCACCTGAAGCACTTCAGCAATGAAGTGGAAAAGTTTACGTTCTGCAATTCATAGTCACTGAATGTTGTGAGACAAACGATTGATCCTTCATTTTTACGATCACAATCGCGATAAACAAAACACACATCCTTTGAAATAATTCATTTACCTCTACGAGTGCCTCTGTCGTCGCCATCGCCCTCATCAGCAGTAACTAGTTCAACTTTTTTTACACGGTAGATTGGAAAACCTGGATCACAGAATTTTTGGATTTCTTCTCTAAGAGGCTCATCGACTTTCTCTGTCACGACCCAGTAGTCTCCCACTATGTTATGATTTTGCGGAGAAGGAGGAGTATCAAAAACCTAAGAATGTTTCGATACGACAGGTCAAAGAAGAGAATATTCACCACATAATTATTACAAAGCTTTCAGCTTCAATCATCAGATGTTAAAAAACCCAAATACAGTCGAAGCTGTATTAAGCGTTCACCCCGGTTGACCCCTAAAAACAGGTTCCACAGAATAGGGTTATTATAATAGACGCCAGTTCATGCCATGATTGACACAAAGTCTCTCAAAAATACTACTTACGTGGATTAAATGCTATTTGAAAGATTACCCTTAATTTTTTTCAAGTGGTTCCTCTCTAAGTGACGGTGACCACGGCCGCTAGCGAAATTGACTGCTTGGTAGAAGTGAAACTCACAGTTATTACAAGGTGACCGTTGATCTTTCTCTTCCAAAATTGACATTTCCTAGTTCTAATTCACTTACCTCTCTCAACGCAGTCTGTAGGTTACTTCGTTTAGGTAATTTGTCCGGCAGTGTTCCAAGATAGCAAACACCGTCTCTGTCAACGCGCCGAAGGAACTCGTTCTACAACGCATCATAAAATACCAGTCATGTGGTAAGCTTATCCAGCAGTCAAACGAACAAAAAGTACACATAGCGTATTATAGCTTTTTTAAGACTGAGTAAAACTAAATGGAAACTAAATGACTGAAAAAAACTTACAGTTTTGAAATCCACTAAATAGTCAGCGGCCGCAGTTCGGTTATCTCGGTTATCAGCTGGCACGTGAAAATACTCTAGATCTCTTCCCTCGTCTGTCTCTGATTCTTTTGTTTCACTCTCCATTGGGTGAGGATTGTACTCCTTTGCCAAAATTCTCTCATCCATTGTTTTCCCATTTGGAATCTGTAAAACATTGTAAATAATTACTGGTGGTTTCCCAAAGCGATTAGTACTCTGACCAATTCCCGACGTAGTTTCGTAAAGGCAAAAGCGACGGTAAACTCTGGTTCCCGGTCGCTCGCCATTTAAACGAGTCTTAAGCTAAGAATGGAGAGTTTTTTTTAAATCTCTCCGAGGAGAAATGACACTTGAAAAATCACTGGAAAGCACTAAACCAAAATGGTCGTTCTGTTTTGACCGTTTCATAACATAGAATAAACGCTTACCACTGAAGCAATTGCTTGTGTAACGCAGAGAACCAGAAACATCGCCACAACAGCTGTTGAAAGTTTCTAAAAAAAATTAATCAAGAAAACTAAAAATAAGCTACATGATATACTTTCACTGACTTGCTGGCAAAAGGCAAGAGATGTTCAGAGGATAAAAACCAATTTTTTTATAACATAGCACTTTTTAAAACTTTCAGCCATCTCGCACTACAATGGTTACATGCCTACCATGTTTGAAGTCAGCTGAAGATTTATACTGTCCTCTGTGTTCTGTAGTTTCGATCCCTGAACTTTTAATTTCTAGAGATGATTTCTCTCTTATAAACGCTTAGAACAAGGAAGTAATCTGAGAATGGAAAAGGTGGTAAACAACCTCTGTATCTGAAGGTTGTTTTGGCTGAAGCGCGGTGAGTCACGTTCGCCGGGGTTTGATCGATTACAGCCCGGCAGCTTGAGAGAAAAAAAACCAAAGACCAAAGCTGTTCTCGAAAGCCTAACGGCTTTTCTTATGTCATGATAAAAAATCTATTTCCTCTTTTCTTTAATATTCACCATCTGTAGCTTTTATAATGTGCAACAATAAGCCCAAGCTCCCGCTGTGAGTTGATCATCTTGCGTGTTTAAAACGTCATGGCGACCGCTTACCTTGTTTCGAAAGAGGCCATTTTAAGCAAGTTATCCATTTCTAGGTTTCTTACCCGTAACTCGCTAAAATGGCCTCGTTTCAAAAAAGTAAGCGGTCAGACAACAAGCGATGCATTTTAGAAGTAACGTGAGGTATTTTTATCGAGAATTTGACAGTATTTTCCTTCCTCGGAGCAGTCCTAAATATTCCCGTACAACCATAAGGGCCTATTTCCTTTATATTTTCGCCATGAGGCTTATTATGCAAGATGATCATCTCACAACTGGAGCTTGGGCCGCGTTTGTGTGTACATAGTCACTTTAGTAGTCAAGGAACAAGAAAATTGACCCCATTGGTGTCCCAAGCTCACGTCTCGAGAAAAAGAAGACAGTTGTAATCGTACGCTTTTTCTTCAGACGTGACCTTGGGACACCTGTGGGGTCAATTTCCTTGTTGTCCATGTACGTGCTCGTTATGTTTGTGGAAAACAATCAAATTCTTCCGTGACATTCGTTCTGGTTCGGCTGAAGTGTAGGCAATTGTATCCTTTACAGATTTCAGGATGTTTATAGAAGCTGGCTGCCGGTAGAACTGAAACATGAAATTGTCTTTCCCGCGGCTTTAAATCAAGCATCATTACTCTCGCGGGCAAAAGGTAAAACATGGTGACATTTTAATTTATGAGACTGACCACCACTACCTCAGGCGAATACCACACAGACGCAATAAACGGTTCACAGATAAATTTGATAAAAAAATCTTTGATCTTAAAAAGGAGAACAAAATCCCAAGTAATCCACCGGATTGATCTGCAACTGAAGAAAAGACGGGACGGAAACGTTTTGTCCGATGAAATTCGAAACCTTTTGCATCCTAAATTTTCACCGTTTGTTTGTTTGTTTTTTAATTTAATGTTGTTTATTATTTTGTAATACGCGTGGTGAAGTGAAATTTCTTTCCACTTTTGACGCGACGGTAACGGAGGAGTGAAAAAACGCGGAAGGTTTGGGTCAGGTCGCGTGACGTATGTTCCTTACGCGACCCAACTCAAACCTGCTTCCCTTTTTTTTTTTTTCCCTCAGGTGCTTCTTACTACAATCGCTCTGTCTTACTAACTGAACGCCTATTACATGGCAATGTGCTAAGAATAAAAAGGTTAAAAAAAAACTGATCTAAGTAGTGAAAGTTGAACAAGGGCGACCGTGATTACAGTGGAACTTTAATGTGCGTGTGAAACTCAGTTCATGCTCTCCTTGGCGTGAGATCAATGTCATGAGACGATGATCACTTCCTGATGTTCTTTTTGAAAAATAAATTTTTGACTCGGGAGATCTACCGTGAGGTGATTTGATGAGGTGGTTTTCTTTGAGCACATGTTGAAATAAATGATCCAAAAGTTTATCCCCTAAAAAAGAGAGAAACCACAAAGTATTCCGTTCAAAACAATCGCGGACTCCCTAAGAATTTGAGCAGATATGTAAGTTGAACTTGTTTTAACATTGTTCACGAAGATCTATTGCACGCACATTGTCTTTGCGACGTGCACGCGTGTTATGTACAACGCGCGCAGCACACGAGGAAGAAAAAATCACGGTGATACCAACTGAACATTTCATAGCCGTCATAGCTACGTTTCAGGAGCATAAAATCACTGATCAAAACAGTGAGTATCAATTGTTTTTGAGGTTTAAGAGGTTTCATCGCTTATTCATCGTATTCTTTGCAGCTCTTTCTGTGACGGATCTCGCGCGATCTGTCGCGCGATCGCCACCATCCCGCGCGTGAGCACTAAAACCTTACTTGTTGGAGCCCACCCAGGTCAAAAAGGGATTGATGGCGGGTCAACCAACAAAAATTGCTTAATTCAATAATTTGTCTTTTTATATCACCCCCGAGGTAGTTCTGACACCCAATAATAAACATAAATAATAACAGGAGCCCATTACTGATCATAATTGATACTTTTTTCAACTCGACATCTATTTAGCAACGGTTTTTCTTGGCACATCAGCACTTAGTTACTTGGAATAATTTAATTCGAACATTTGGGACTCTAACGAATAACGAGAAAGGGTTACTTTCATTCTTGTTATGAAGCCATTCTTGTCCGCCAAGAATATACCTCTTGAGGTACCAGTCAGTCCTTGTTTATCACCTGTGGGGGTGGGGAGGGGAGGGGTTTGGAGGATTTTAAGGGGGATATCACATTGTTTTCAGGGGGCGGGGGATGGTCGTTAACATAGTATAAAGGGGGGATATCAGAAATTGACTGCCAATTAAATGCCAATGACTGGGGGGGGGTGGGGGAAGTGGGGTCAGAAGAAAATTACAGAGCCTTAAGGTAAATGTTATCGTTACACAAAAATCCTCCGAACTACCCTCAGCCTTCCTCCCTCCCTCCCCCCCCCTTCCCCCCGGCGATAAATGATGACCGATCCCCAACAAACAAAAGGTAGATAAAAAAATAATAATAAAAAAAACCAGAATGTAATGAGGCAGGCGGATGCTGTATGACCGCCACAAACCGGAAACCGCAGACTTGAAGCAATAATAGATCACGCTTCAGACACGATAGAGAAACGGTTAAAAACTCGTTGTTTTTAATATTCAAAACAAAATTGGTCTAAATTAGTTCCAGCCATCATTGATAAAAAGATACGTTTGACCTAATAGTGATTCCCACTGAAAATATTACTCTCCAAGTCAGGGCAATGTTGTCGATCACATTTCTTTCATTTTATCGCACGCCATTTCAGTAAGGAAGATGAATTTTGTCCAAGTTTCTGTTTTTTATTTCAGAGAGAAACTGAAACGTTTTTGTGTGTGTGCAATCTGATCGTCGTTATATATTTTTTTTTCTGAAAGCGCTTATCAGCCGTATTGATTAATATATCATAGAAGTTAATGTATCATGTATCAATAATAAATATTAATTGATTGTAATTGTAATCAAAAGCTTGTGTTGAAGATACTGGCGAGAAACCCGCTGTTTTCTTTGTTTTCAATCGAAACGAACACACCCATGAACATCATAAAATTCAGTGCTGGTGGTCTCTTCCAAACAGGAAAAGTTTTCGATTGTAGGTCCTCATTGTTTCTTCGGCATCGCGAAAAATTCATGATTTTCTAAGAGGTGGTCATGAAAAGTTATTTTGCTTCAAAGGTTGTTGGGGTTACATTGTTACTAGTAGAGTGTGGTCAATTAAAATGATTTCTGACAGCATTATACGGCTAGAACACATGTATATCTCACCAGTTGAAGACTTAAGAAATTATATGTGGTTATAATAACGGGCCGATAACACTTAAACCGAAATGAAGAATGGAAAAGCTGGGCTTCTCTAAGCATTTGCAAACTCGTCCACCACGGCTTGGCAAGTAACCGAAGCAGTAGGTTCTCTTCGCCTAATAAATAATACAGACTCATTCCCCTCGACAAACTGAAGTATACCCACTCGTACAATTAAAACTTTTTGTTGATTTAACGATAAAAATTAAAAGTGTGGAAAAGGGTTACCAGTCGTACTGATATAAATGAAAATTTATATGTCGGTCGTTTGCAGATGAATTGCACTTGAACGTATTTTTTGTCAAACAGCATAAGATATTTTGGTCAAAATAAATCGACGAATCGTCATTTTGCAATTTTTAGAAGTACAAAGTGCTTGAACGGACAAAAAAATTGACAAAAGAAGGAGACTCATTTACGCAATGCAACGGCCTAGGGATATCCATGGAGGACATCTTGACACCCTTTGCGAAGTTCTTTTGGGCGGCCCTAAATTTAGGAAATGTAGTCATGTTCAAATCTTAGAGAAGTTTTCCTAGGGTGTACAACTTCTTTTCGTCTTCTCGTATTCTTGCATGTTCTTAAGCAGTCAAATTAAACTATTTTCATATAAGAAACGAAAGATAAAACTCAGCCACGATTCTGAGAACTAAATATAAACTCCTCCTTTTCAAAGCCTCAATAAAATGATTCTGAACCCATAGAGCTCAGAAGAAGCAATTACGCAATTAAATTTTTTGAGAAGATTAAGGATTGGTCATCATGTTGCAGTTGCAGTTCATTCAAATAAAGACATGTCCACAAAGTATACAATCTCTTTGCACTCCCTAAAAATAGACACTGATTTCTGCTGGTGGCTAGGGTTTACAGAAACCTTTTTATAAAGTAATATTAGCATTAAGCCAAGGAAAGGTTTTCATGAAAACGGAAATTTTTATTCATAAACATTTCAGGCATGATCCACACTAATGGGTTTTCAGGCGTTGGAAAACATATTCTTTTGATGAAGGGGAGAATCTCGCCAATGGTTTTAAAAATGGATGTTTTGAAAACGCATTATTTTAAAAACACTCAGTTTTATTTGTGGAAAACTGAAAACTTGGGCTTTTAGAGAACATACAGTCGCCCAGTCATCTGCGTTCTCAGCCAGGCTCTTTTTTTTCCGATAGGGGAAAATACATCAAGCTGTATGAATTGTCAAATCAAAACGCTCTTTTGAGGACAGTTGAGAGGGAACGAAAACGCTCGTGTGGGATGAATTATTTTGCATCATTTTGCTTGGGGCGAAAACGGACACTTTTAAAAACACATTAGTGTGGTTTGAGCCTTAGACGTGACTTTTCAACGTCGATCCAATGAACAAAAGATAAAATAGACATCAATTTCCTCTTTACAAAACCGACAGCCACAATTTATTAAACTTCCAAAGAATTTCTGAACAAAGCGTGGCTTTGCGATTTCCGTTTCAGGACTGGTCAATTTATCACTAGCGGTTTAAAACTCTTGAGACTGGCCGACAGCAATGCACTTTTCCCCCAAAGCGATTTGTTGCGGTCAAAATCGATCAGGGAGGAATGATGTGGGAAGACGTTGAAAGATGTTTTGCCAAGGAGTCGAGCAGATTTCGATAACCATCGACTTGAGTTGTCTCGATCTCGAAATAGGATGGGATAAACAGCTCTGTCAGTATTTACCGCAGGTATCACGAACGACAAGATGGCTTGAAATGAGATTGGCTTTGAGCCGATTTCTTGACTTAAATGACTCTAAACTGCTTGTTGACCCTTAAGAAGACGAGAAGATTCCTCAAGAAGCCGGTGATTTTGGTTTGGTTGTTAAAAAAAACGCAAACAAATGTCGATCTGGTTTATAGTTTTCTCGCTATTCCAATGTTCAACACTAAGTTGGTGGTCTGATCAAGCTCGCGACACTCGTTTAGCAGTATTTATCGTGCTCTTACGTGTTGAACTATTTCGCACGCTTTGGCAAACGAAATAAGAACATATTACCGCTTTCCCACGACCGAGCAAAATAAACGCTTGTCCAATATCTTTCCCGATTACATCCCTAAGCAAACAGTGTCGTAAATGAAGAAAAACAAAGAGCGCTCTCTTATCTTATCTCTTAACTGCAATTATGTAGGCCTTCAGCTGCTGCCACGCCACACCGAACGAGACGAAATGCGATCTGCTAATTAAGTTTTCAAGCCGCGGAACAACACATCTTGAGCAGCAACTTTATGCCTCGTTCATCAAGACATGACGATGACACATTGCAGGACGTGAGGATGTGATTGTCCAATGCGGTGCTTTCTCTCTCTCTAAAAACCCCCTTGGACTTAAATGCACTCCAGACCGAGTGATGGTCAAGATAAGTAGCTAAAAGCCAGAAATTATCGACACATCAGAAGATCCACAGGATTCGTCACAGTGCACTTGCAACAAAACATAACTGCAGTTCCTCTATTTTGACGTCGGTATATTTGTGGTGAAATTTATCACGAATATGCTTCAGACGAACCACGGAATGAGTATTCCTGCGCTGGTTCCGCCGCGATTTGAAGAGCCAAACTACGGGATGAACACAAGTTCTCCAAGGCCACCACCGTTCTCGATGTGTCAACCCCATGCGTCCAACTCACTCGTTCCGTCTGCGCGAGTCTTGCAAGAGGTCCTGTACTCTAACGAGATGAATTACCCCAGTTATATGCCTGATATGCCCAACAACCAAAGCTTGCCTCTTCCATGGATGTCTTCTTGGCATCAGAGACAGAATCTGCCATACCTCGGTCACCCTCGCCCAGGTAAAAGCATCGTTGTGCTTTTCTACTTGATTACGAACGAGCGCGTGTTAAGAAAACCTGTTTTGAGTTGATCAAACGCACTGCTCAGAGAGACATCCTGGTTTCATTTGACGCGCTTTAAAAACTTATCAATTCATTTGAACTCGAAATGCTCGTTAATAGTTGTCGTAGTTTTCATTTATGTGTTTATAAAACTTCTTTGAGTATTTGCATAGCCTTTGCAGTATGTTTGTTTATTTTCGATTCACACTTAGGGACACCCTAAGTCAAACACTGCTGGTGTAAATTAGCCGTTAGAAATGGCACGCGCAGTGTAACCTACAATTTGAGCGCAAATTTCACTAGCCACATTAGCACTCGCAAACAATTCGGCTGTCGCAGCTATCTTGCAATCGTAAAACAGCAAAAGGATTCGTTTAACCTCCAATAAACCCCGCTATTGATGTATACGTTAGAGAGCGGTTGGCGACGCAGGCGACAAGACAACCGTAAACTAGCGTCAAACAGGAATTGTTAGATGGAATATTTAAACAGTGATAGCCGGCTGTGGAATCTCGCCAGCGTGCGCAAGAATTGTATCGTTCAAAACTGATTGACAACTTCATCAAAGTAGCAAGCGTTCGAACTGAGCAATTATCGTGAAAAGGAATGAAATGAAGTCACTTTGCGGTCCTTCAAAATACTATTAAGCTGAGAAGATCGAAAACTAAACTATACTTTGAGAGTCGTCATCGAAAACCGCGCAGCGCGCTGTGAGTTTAGGATCGGGTTTTATCAGGTTATCGGGCACGAAATCTTTGGTCTGTATTTCTTAATTCCAAGGGATATCTTTTTCCTCACCAATTATACGGCTCACTTACAATTTCATAAATTGAGCAAGTTTACAAAATAAGACACAGGTTAACTTGCCGCCCGTCTGGGTCTCAATAAGATCAGCTTTTGTGAGGGGTTTTCAGCGCGACTTTAGAAATAGCCCAGCATTTATCTCCCCTTTAAATGAATTCCTTTTTATTTTAATAACCAAGGTCAGTTATTACCATGAATGCACTCTGTGATTAATTTGCTTGGCAGTAAAACAAAGAAAATAAATGTTTAGTTTTATCGACGTCATATCAATCTTCTATGCGATTTGAACTTTGTTAATGTGGGAGTTTTGCAGTTTCATTAATCCGCCCTCTCAAAACTCAGCTATTAATAAAATTGTTCAACAATTCCTGACCGGAAAAGGTAAATAAACAACTTGTTTCCGGGCTTGAGATAAAACAGCTCTTGAGTTTAGAGTGCCAAAAGAAAATATACGCAGAAATCACGAGGAACGTGCTCCACAAACCAACTTGAATTTCATTTCAGGGGAATTTTAATGGTTACGCAACGCAAACTGAAAAAAAGAATGCATTCAACGAAAACTCTGAAACACTATCTCTTTCAACAAGCGTATTTTTCTTTTTTTTTTTTTTTTTCGACAGGAGACTTTTACCCTTATCCTGAATATGGTGACATGGATGAATCAGGCATGTATCCCCCAAAGAAGAAACGGGCACGAACAACCTTCTCGGCAGAGCAACTCAAGCGATTAGAGAAACGCTTCGTAGGTAATCACTACATCGTCGGAGAAGAACGACAGAGAATCGCCAAAGAATTGGACCTGTCCGAAGCGCAGGTCAAGGTTTGGTTCCAGAATCGAAGGATAAAATTCAAGAGAGACGAAGAACTCGAAAAGCTTGGGAAAAGCAAAAAGCGTAAAGGGGAACATCATGTGCGAAAATGGCAACTAACAACACGGCATTTTGGACCCGAAACGGACACGCTATTCCACAGCGATTACGATAATACCTCTAGAAAGCATAATTAGACTCAATTTGTTCTTTAGAGCACTTTACAAGATAAGCAGAAACGCGCTGAAGGCTCGAAGGAAAATTAATTTAATACCAAAGAGGTTGGTACCGCCGCGCTAATGTCTTTTCCATCCATTCGGAACACTGACCACTAGCTGCGAAACTCCAAATTTTGTGAGCATATTGCTTCATGGCGAATTGAAGTACACTACTTCCTCTCTCTCTCTTGTAAATATTTTGTTAGTGTTAAATAGAAGAGTTTATAGGACACGAAATCAACTATTAGAAGCTATAAAGGCCGATTAGATGACTCACGCTCCGGAACATCTGTAACAACTTTCGTAATGACCGTATAGGCCTCTAATGTTTTCAAGAAATGTCAAAGTCTTTGGAGTTATTAACGGCTTTTTAAGGTGAACAGATTAACACTGGTTTCGCTGATGCGATAGTCTCTACAAACAGCTTTTACTCCGTATGAACTTCCCGGATAATATGCCCTAATGATAACTAATTATATCGTTCAATAAATGTCCGTATCACCGGCTAGTGGAGGCAATGGAACAACAACAAATGTAATCTGTCATAGGTGCTTTTCCTCAAGTGGCCTTAAAAGCTTGGTAAATCTGTGCTTATGTTCCAATTGTACATATTTCAAAAGTATTCTGTAGTTAGATTCAATACCAAAAACATTTATGCGTTTACCGCAGCTTTGCGCGCGGGAAAAGCTTCTCAAGAGTCATTGGATTTGCGTGATCTCGGTTTAACCGCAATTTCCATGTTATTTATAACATACATGTTTATTCCACAAATAAAGAAGTTTACAAGACAAGTCATTAGTTTCTGTATATCTTGTCTTTTCTTCGGACTAAATTTCAAACTGACGATACACGTACATTTATATCCACCAGTGGATTATGTTGGGGCGTTTCCCAACGTGTTTGCGAAAAACTCGGTGGGTATAAGTTTTAACCACTATTAGGACACGGTCAAGTCAAAATACTCAGTTCAATCTGCCAGTAAGAACATTTCAATCGGTGTTGCTAACAGGTAATAAATTGAAACATATTTGTTTATTTTATCTCCAATTACTTTTTGTGACTTGTCGGTCGCTATTTACGCCAGTGAACATACAGCTCTTCACAGTAACTGCCTCCTATTTTACGAAATGTATGAAGTCTCTGGCGAAACAACATGAGTTTAGCTTTGTTTGGGTCAATATCACAGCTGTCTTTTACTAGCGAAACACATTTTCTTTATCCTTATTGTAAACATATGACGAATATTTAAGATTTCAATGTTTTATCTCTAAAACTGACTTGCCCTCGATGAACTCAAAGCCGATAGTGATCTAGATATCCAGGGAATGTGACCATGTAATATATATTCGTTTGCCAATCACTCTGTGTTGTTCATATTCCATCGTGGTTTCTAGCACATTCCATTTCAATATCCTCCGGCTAAGAATCTGTTTTCCTACCACTTAGAAGTGGATGAAAAAAAAACCGTACACTGACAATTCTCCCTTGCATTTTTTGCCAAAGTTTATCCCTATACACTCCAGACACACCTACATATTTGTCTCGGAAAATTTTCCCAGTCCACGAGCACCACGCCGCATGCAACAACACGATAAGTTTTCTAATCCAGGAGTCCTTAAACGAAAGGATAACATTACGGGCTTATCTCCACGATCCAAAGTAGGTTATCTAGAATGAAACAATTTCCGACATGACAGATCGGCATGAGTGACTGCGTGAATATCAACTACTGTATTGGCAGGAGAGATATCTGTTTTTTATTTGTAAAAGTAGGTCGGCTACTTCTGTAGTGTGTTTTATTCTGTTATTTCGGTTAACTCTTTGACGTAATTCCAATTTCCACACCGAGTTTTGACTTTCCAAATGTTACGGCTCCTTTTTGTAAGAAATCGTAATGGATAAATTTACCCAACGTTCGCTGTAAAAAAGCTTTTATGCATCCATCGTGTTTCGATGACTTCTGCGCCCTTTTAAAAGGAACTCGTAGATAAGAAAACCGCCTACTTTCATTTAATCAATATGCAATTGTTTGGTATTTTACAAGAGCGTCCCCTTAACTGAATCATCGCCTGTTATGTGCAAAGTTTGAAAAGAGGGCCTAATTTGGTCATTAAGTACAATGTTATGCATAGAGAGCTCGAACTCCACATCACTCAGATAGTTGCACTGTTCCGCTTTGAGGGGAATATCCCAGTTAAGGATTTTCTCACAGCTTCTGAAAATAACTGAAGGCAGGAGGTCAAAGGATTTGACGGTGTGAGCAAGTTGTTCCGCAGATAATATTTTTTTGCGTGTTGAGGTACGATAAACTTAATTCATCCTGAGTTAAAGAGATCGCTAAAAAGTTAGCAGAACATTCTACACGAGTGTCGTTTGAGAGACAAAGGCTCTTTTCCCAGCCAACTGTTCTGATGTCCTTTTGAGTGATCAAACTTCATTAACATTTAATTTGCAAGACAATGACAACGACAAAAAATATTTTGATCGTCAAATTTTCTCTTTTACAGGACTGCTCTTGACTTTTAATAGTTTTCCTCAACGAACTTTGTGAAAAGCAAAGAATCTTCCATGACTGTGATTTGTCTCTTAATAAAAGGCTCGAGTTGGTAACCGAAATACTGTGGAACGATTAAAAAGATGTTACATAGGAGACACAATTGCAAACTGTAGCCTGTAACCTCTAGTAACCGGCATGATGGGTCAGAGCGCTTTTCGAAAGAGGGTCGCAGAGCCAAAATCGGAGTGATCGCAGCGGCAAGTCAAAGCAAAGGAAATACTAAAGACTACAGACAAAATCGCTTTCAAGTATCGGTTTTTCTTATTTTCGTCGATCGGTCTACAAAGCCGACGCCTCTTATCTCCTCACCTACAATATCGTGTGCAAAACTAATCTTTAATCGCGTCTTGGTCACACGCGTCCTTTGTGGCTTCTTATTGGATCCTAGTGAGATCTTTCCTCGCTATGATTGGCCTTTACGATTTATCTGGTTTTGGTTTTTGAATTTCAATCGGAAAGCGGTGTACCAGATTCTTATACCTTCCCCCAACCGAAAAAATGACTTAAGCACCTCAGTATGCTAATAACTCTATGCTCAGGTAACCATCCCTCCGTAATGCACTTCAGAGGTACCACATATGTCCGTTATCATTCAAAATGCAGCTCAAGTTCATCAGAGCCTACGCAATTTGCTGCATAAGAAGTTCGGTTTTTGAACAAGTGTTTAATCTCAGTCTGCTTTATCCTGCATTATGACAAGTAAAATGTGCTATCGTCTTTAAATTGCGAAGGGAATGGGGAGGAGGGCGCGAGAATTTCCGCGCACACTACGCGTGTCACGAAACTTCTCAATGCGTTTACTATTCATGCGCGAATTCTCACGCATACTATGGTATACTCTTTTTTTCTGATCAAAATTTAGGATGTTTGAGACAAGTGTCACATATACAGTGAGAGTAAAACATGGAAAGGCTAGCATGTCATAAAACGACTTTTGGCCTGTGCGTTAATTTACTCATTATATGGATATAATGTAACTTACACTCCATTCCTGAACATTGAAAAGAAAAAAAAAAAGAAAACGTTTCTCCTGTCACATTTCCCGGTTAAAAAAATTAGATGTTCGTGTTTTGGGTTTCCCAAGCGATCGTCAGCGAACGAGAAGCGCGAGAGAGAAAAATGATATATTATCCTTTTTGCTTCCTTGCCGCTCGTGTGACTCTCGCGCTGCGTTCGCGTTTGCTCTTTAGATTATTTGAAGAAAATCTGTATGGTTTTAAATTTGAAAATTACAGTTTTTCTCTTCCTCTCCCTCCTTTGTATTATTTGTATATTTCCGCGCGCCGAACGTGATTTAAAAAATTTAACATTGAAAACTAACGTGGACATTTTTCGCGTACTTTTGTTGTTTGTTTTACAGAGTTGATAGTTTTTGTTTGAAGCTTTCGTTCGCGCAAATTTGTTACCCCTTTGTTTGGAATTTACGAAGTTTTTTTTTTTTGTCAAATGTCGGGGTTCATTTAACATGTTCAATACATATTTGCTATGGAGATTGGACTCTAGTTAGCCTTTTTTTTTATAAATGGATTTTCTAATTTCAACACCATCGCAGCCCGATGAAAATGACCATCTTGGTTTTGATTAGTGGTTAAATTTTTGACTGAGATCGAATAAAATCAGATGCCAGGGAACGTTCATCCGCGTATCGTTCAGCTGAGTGTTGTGCTTTATACCCTTGACGGTAGGTACATAACTAACATAATGGAGGCACTTGCGAGGTACGTGCTGTGATTAAGAAAATCAAAAGTAAGAAAATCAAAAGAAATTTGGCCATGAATCAGCCATTTTACGGCTTCATCTTGTTTTAATCGAGTCAAAATAATTTTCTGTGCTTAACCTTAAACGAAGAACGTTGCACAAACTTCCATTTTTTCTTTATTCCACATACCGCATGCCCCAGTCCTTAAGTCTAGTCTCATAATCTTTAGAGCGTGAGAGACTAGGTAGTAACTTGCGTTTACTCGCCCCATTCTTCAGCACCTTTAGCAGTGGAGACAGAGTCACGCAAGCAGGCGGGCGTGAAAAAGAACATGGCTGCGAGAAGTTTCTTGATACTTTGCTGTTTCTTCAGCCATAGTGCTCTAACTTGGGCAACTCTACCATATTGTGGAAGTGATTCTTATAAATACACCCCATTGCAAAGGGGAGACAATGGAAATGAATATACCCTCAAACAAGTTCATGTGATAATCAGGTGAGTTTTAATACACGCATTTGTTCAAAACAATTTTTTTTTTCCTCAATCTTTCGAAACTTTTACAAGATTTACATCAAGCTATTTCCACGGGTTCTCATTTTCCTGAAATTTGGATGTGGAATAGTCGTTTTTAAAATTGCGTGGTTTGTTTCTCCGAATGTTGTAGGGAAAAGCAGACTTTCCTTAACACGAATTATTTCCTTTGCAATCAGTTTACGGTTAGTTTGTACTTTAAGACTCCAATAGGCTTGAACTTTCTTTTAAGGTGTAAGGTTGATTTATCGATTGTTTGATGAGGTTTTTTCTCCCTCTCTCTCCCTTTTCATTTTGAGAACAATTACCTCTCGATCTAGAAATAAGTTTTGCAAGTGGATTCATGTTCCCGGTCACGAGACTTACAAACAGTAGCGGTGACAAAATTGTCGTTGTCTAAAGTATTAAATTCGACAAAACTTAAATTCAAAACGTAACGTCTAAATCACAATAGAATTTCTCCAAATTACCTTTCCATACTTTTGGGTTTGATTCTGTAATTAATTCGCCCTAATTTCAGTACCTGAGTTCAATTTGTGTTGCAAATCATATTGGACAGTTTGTGTTTGCAAAAAACTTTAATAAACAGGCACCTCTGTCTGGACCAGTATACAAAGTCACCCATTTTTCATAGCAGTGGCTGGCATACAAGGTCCTGAAAAGCACTTCATGGCACTACTGCCAGTTAAATTAATGTTAGGTGGGTTCTAATACTAATTTTTTTTCAAGGGCTGGGGTAGTTTATTTAAGGAATTTTTCAAAGTTGATTTTCATGTTTTGGGTATTTCTTGTGAATTGTTAAGGTCTAAAACTCTACGTGCTTTAGTGAAATATAGTTTTTTTTATCATTATTAAAAAACTATAAGGTATTATAAATGAAGTGTTAATTGATATCATGTCTAGCTTTTTCTTTTGGGGGGGGGTGGGTGGGGGATTGATTTTTGTCACTATGGAATTATCATTGACACCCCTTAAAATTCATGATACCCCTTCCCTCCCCTTCCCCCTAAACTCATCTTCCATCTTCTCAAGTCTTCCCCAAGTTAACCGATTTCAGGAAGGCTGTTACAATCCAAATTGATTTCCTCTTTTTTGTCATTGTTGACAACAGACACGGTGACAGAACAAGAGCAGAAGCTGCTCCCTGTTGGGCTAATGATACAGCTGTGTGGGACTGCCTATTGACGTCTGCTTCTCTGCCTGTCATCAAACATGACATCCATGATATAACAGTGGACAGGATCTACAGAGATGGTAGATATTTTAGTTATTGCATATTGTATTTTGTTCATATGTCAAATCCAAATTTTTTTAATGTTATCAACTTTCATTGCAACTTTCTTTCTGCTGATTTATAAGCTATTTAGTGGGTACATTTGTGAATTAAAATTCATTTTTAATTTTCATTGTCTATTAATTTCCAGCCATCTAAAAATGGGCTCAACAACTTTTCACATATTTAATTTTTTTGGAATATCCATTTTAAAAAGGGATCATCAATGCATTTGGATAATTGTAAGACATGCCTTGATTTTCGTTGTTCAAATATGGAAAAATCTTGACACTTGAGCGGTCTAATGATTTCATTGTAAACAGAAGTTTATGATATACACCAGTCTGAGAGTTTTTTCTGTGAATAACAAAAAGATAAAGAAGTCCTTGAAGGAATGATAAATTTGATGCATGTTTGTTTTTTTTTTAAATTACTCACAGTTTACATACCTGGTCGTAATGTCATGAAAGGTGATTGTGGTTTGGGTCATCTGACTTCTAAGGGATACAAACAGGAGGAGGATAATGGAAAGAATCTGCGCAAAGCATATGTTGATACTGGATTCCTTTCCCCCAACTACTCCAATCACGAAATATTTTTTCGAACGGATGGTGAGTGTTTTAGTAGAAGTTTCATCTTTGATCGAAACAAATTATGGGAAAGCCAGAATTTGTGAAAAGTATATGTTGATACTGGGTTTCTTTCCCCAAATTACTTTAATTATGAAGTGTTTTGTTAAACAGATGGTGACTGGTTTAGAGGTAGTTTTGTTTTTGATTGGTAAAACTTGTGGGAAAGTTAGAGGCAAATAACTTTGGAGGTCAGTTATGATGGTTCCTATGAGGTCTATGAATAACAAAAGCATAGGTGTCAGAGATTTAAAAGCCTTGAAATGTGTTTGTGAAGTGTCAGTGTTTATTGAAAAATGCAAGAAATTATGTTGTTGTGCACTTTTTCTGCAACTTGGATTTTTCATTTTTTGTTTTGACAATTTTCACAGATATGTCAAGAACAAGACAGGTCAGTTCAGTATTCACATCAATTGTCAAACTGTGTTTTCTCTGCAACTATATGTCCCAACTTTAATCTAAAAAGTTGAAATTTTAAAAGTTAGATATTCAGTTTCATGTTGTTGATGTTCATTATACATACAGCTGTAATAAATATTAACTAAAAATACTGTAATATTGTAACTGTGCAGCCATTAAGGAAAACTGCAGTTGCACTGGGCTTTGGAGGCCTTCAACTAAAATTGACACTGTTGAAGACAAAAATTGTTCATTATGCTGCCCTGTTAAAGATGAGAATTTTCATAGATTGTGGTATTTTAGCCTTATGGAGCCATTAGTCAGGCTTATTCAGACAAAGTGTGGGATTAGATTTGAAGAACTTTTATGTTAGACCAAGCATAGCATCAACATGGGAAACAATCACCCCCCATTTAGGACTTTGGGTTTAGAAATATACCTGTTCGCGTGATAATTTATGTGAAATTATGTACACTTTTTTAGATTCACTTTTGGCTGCACCCACCACACCTGTCTAGTTCAAGTAAGGGATTGTTCTTTCTATCAGGAAGAGGAGGTTTTAAAAATTTACTCTCTCACATCATTATGCATCATCTCCATACTGTTCTCTACACATTTGCCAAGGTGCTGACAAGGAGAAGTTTTGTAACAATCAAGGGCTTCCTTGGTCGGCGATCATTTCCTTTATTCTCATAACCTTAATGTGTGATTCAGGGGTGATATTGTTGGGAGAAATTTGATGCTAGTCATTTTTGGGGGTCAAAGGATTAAGACTCGAAAACACATTATTTTCTCTACAGTCTGCTCAAGCTCTGGCTATAGGTATGTTTCCACCCTCTGCTCCATTGTCAGGCAAATCTCAAGTCGTTGACATTAATGTGATGGACAAAGAATTTGATGACATAGAACCAAATGCCAAGTGAGTGATGTATAAGTGATTTCAAAATTGATTGATTAGTTGCACAACAGTCTCTTTATCCCTTTAATTCCCAAAATCTGATTGTTAATCCTCTCCTCTATCTGCTCCACCTTTTCTTGTGAATTTGTTACAAGAATTTTGTGTTAGATCAAGATAAAAATTTCTACCTGATGAGCTTGAGTATTCTCATTACCTGCTTGCTGGATTATATGGATATTTTAGGGAGAAGTTGCATGTGAATCACTTCAGGGAGTTATTTAACCCTTTACACCCTAACATCAGTATGCATATTCTCCACACTGTTCTTTATACATTCCTAAGGTGCTGACAAGGAGAATTTGTTTGCCAATCAAAAGGTTCCATCCCTGGTGACCATTTCTCTTTATTCCTTTGACCTTTAAGTGTGATTCAAGAGTGATATTGTAGAGAGAAACTAGATGCTAGTCACTCTTAGGGTTTAAAGGGTGAAGAGTTAAGCTGATTGCATGATCTTAGGGTGAGGGAAAGGGTGCAGTTTTTCAGGGAATGTTCTAATGAATGAAAATTTTCACAGGATGTAGTCACCTCTGATGGGGATCTGATCAAGGAATGGAAGAAACTGTTTTGTGTGATTGTGAATAAGCATTGTCAGAGCCAAGTGGGGATGTTTTTTTTTTAGTTGGACTGGGCAATAAGTGAAATGTTGTCTATCTGGGTCACCCACTGTCCAAGATATTTCTTATTGCAGTTTCTTTTCTGTATTTCACCCACACCCCCCCCCAATGCTCCGTTTATAATCTTCCCCTTGGGTCATGTGTAGTCTGGGGGGGGGTTATCAATTTGTTACTGAGTTGGAACACTAAAGTACAACACCTGTGATGCATACTACAATTATTTGCCTTTTCAGTCTTTGCCCTAAGTTAAATCAATATCGGAAAGAGTTCTTTGCATCTGAGTCTTGGAAACAGCATTACAATGAAATAACCGAACCACTAATGGCCGAAGTTGAAAAAGCACTTGGTCTCACATACAAACTGAGTAAGTCCTTTATTCCCTTTTTTCTTTCAAAGTAAATTAGCTTTATTCTGTATGAATTTAACCTACTTTTTAAATATTTGGCATCTTATTTAGTGGCTATGTTGGGGGGGGGGGAGTGTAGGATTTGGCCCCCAGCTTGGTCATACCTTTCACGTTTGTGCCTTTCTCTTTGACTTCACCTCAGCAAACAAGGTAACCACCAACTAAATCAGCAGGATGTGCTATTGTGAATTAATACATAGAACATATTTGAATTTCTTGTAAATTTGTTCCCTGCACTTTTACTTACTCAAACTTAAGTGTATTTTATACGTGTTTGATTTTTTAAACTGATGAACGTGGACGGTGTAACCCGGATTATGGACGAAAACCTCTGCAAGTTGTGGTTAAAAGTCGCATTTAAAGCTGCATACCTGAGAAACTGAGGGGAATGAGGCAGGTGCTTGGAGGCCAGGCCTTAAGATACGTCAGTTCCTTTAAAGTTATCATTAAATAGTCCTTCTGACGCAAGTCTGCTATCTGAGACGTCGGCTTAAGTTTCCGTTGGGATGTGGAGCTCCGGCTTGATTGGCCACTTGGCTCGAATTGGACTCTATCTTTTTTTATACATGCCTTTTTTTCATTGCATCTTCGCAGCGCCCGTGGGTTTGATTCATATAACAGACTGCCTTTTAGTCCACATTTGTCATGGGTTCCCCATCCCACCCAGTGTATCCTCAGACCTTGTGGAGCGCGTTGCCAGCGAAGTAGAGTACATGTGGTATGCCACCTTTGAATACCCTACCATACAGGATCACGCCAAAGTGGGCATTGGATTTCTGATCAGCGAGATATGGATGGTAAGGAAGTGTGGCTGGTATTTGTGAAGAGAACACCTTTGCTGCACTGTAGTTAGAATTGAGGAAGCCGGTCGTTTAGAACAACAGCTGCTCATGTTTCGCCTAGGAGTGGTTTCGCCCTGAAGGGAATTCATTTCGCCCGGACGGGAAGTCAGTTTCGCTCTGAGGGGAAGTAGTTTCCCTCCTACTGGGCGACACAATTTATTTTGTTATTTATTTTATTATTTTATTATTAACGTTGCTCTTCTTGATGGTTCAGCGCGATGTTGCGTATTTTGCTTTAGAACACAACGCCATAAATCAAATGACTGGTTCTTGGTAAAATATCTTAGTAACACTATATTGCTCCTTAGGCGATGCAAGAAGCTATGGAAGAAAGTAAAGCGAGAAAGTTTTATCTGTATTCTGGCCACGACTCCACAGGTACGGTAGAGTTGTTTTATACGAAAAAATAATATGTGTCGTAGTTGAGGAGAAAAAGAGGGTAAGATACTCAAGTGAAGATCAGGTCTTCGGCTCTTTGATTATCCGAAGATAAGGGATACCTTGGCGGTGTTGACATCATCGGGCTGAGATCGTATCACGGTCGAATGTTTTCGTTGCTGTGGGTAGCTCCTGGCTCACGTTCGGTTTGGAATATCAAAAATAATAGTTTGAGGATCAACTGCAAAGGGGGGGGCTAGAGTTTAGTCAGTGCATCTCCACCTAGTAAGTGTTCGGGAATCGCGGGTTAGGTTCGACCGCTCAGGTTATAATCGGTTCTAATGGCGTTTGTTTCCTTCTTCAGTTATGCCCTTCATGAAAGCCTTCAACGCCAGCGACGGCAAATGGAGCCCGTATGCCTCCATGATTCAGCTGGAATTACTGGAAACTACTAGTTCAAAAAACACGGATTATGCCGTAAGGCTGCTTTACCATGGCCAAGAACGAGTCATCCCATACTGCCGCGTGTCTCCATGTCCGCTGGCCCAGTTCAGCGAGTACATGCAGGCTATTACCCCTCAACACCCGGATACAGATTGCAAAGTGACCAATGCAAGGCTTATGAATAAGGCACGATCACCGCATTTTAGGGCAGCTAGAGTTTTCGCATAAATAAATCAAACACGAGCTACACGTTAACACTAGGTGAATCGAGAAAAGGGCTAAGCCCTAACACGTGGTGACCCGTTTCCCTCGTTTTTCTATGTGAATGTGTATGCCATTTTTAATGATATTGAATGGGAATTCATCGTATTCCAATCTAGTAGACAGTTGAACTGTTTTTATTAACTTAATGAAACAGTCAATTGACAACAAGTTAAGGTTAATGTTGGGTTAGGGGAGGGGTAGGTGGGCAGTTGCCCAGATACTGATATTGATCCGTAATTTCACTAGGTATTGTTTGAGATGCTTTGACTTTTTGGTTGGGTTTTTTTTACCTGAGTTATTTTGTTTGGTAAATTTCACCGAATCCATTTGTATTGAGGGGAGGGGGTTTCGTATTTCTCTGGTAACTTTTGAAGTAGCTGTAGTATTTTTTTGTTGTTGTAATTTTTTACACAAAGTAATTGACGGAAAGTCGTAAGTCGGAAGATCCTCAAATTTAGTAGCTAGTTCCACAGTAGTAAAGTTAAAGCTGTCTTAGCTATCACGGACCGCCTAAGTGTGTCTGCCTCTTGAAGCTTATTGGGACTTTTTGATATACTTTTTACGTTATTTTTCTACTTCAATAAAATGACAAAAACCTTTTTAATAACTTCGCATTTAGATGTTGTTCACATATTCCACACTCTTCTCTTTCCCACTTTGCACCGTTGTAGCTCTACCGCGTATATTGGCGTCTGAATTCAATTTCTTGGCTGTGGTGTTTTCCAATTTTTTGGAAGATGAGAATCTTAGCGACATACTTGGTCAACGTAAAGTGTTAATCTAATCTGCCAGAATTCTCAGCAATTTGTGCGGAGGCAAGATTTCATAATCTTGGCGAAGGCCATTCAAAGATGGCAAAGTCTCTTTTTGGGGGAGAACCAGGGGGATTAGTAGTCATAAGCAGAATATAAGGAGACTGCAGGGGGGACTATGGAAAATCGACAGTCAACCGAAGAGGGGGGGTGAGTTGTAACAATATTACAGCGCCTAATAGGGGGATCGGATAAATTTTACCGTAACAGAACCAAAACCCTCCAAACCGCGCCCTCCTCCCAGACAAGAAATAATGACATTTAAACATTTTTAAAAACAACGACTGCTTCTTCTGTAGAACATAAAATTTCTTTGTAACAGACATCACCCCTCACTTTCACTTTTATCCCCCCCCCCCCTTGTTTTTGTCAGATGGACGTCTTTTTAGCTTATACCATAATCTTCTTCACTTTTGGCATGAAGCCTTGGGGCTCTTAATTAATATGACCTTTCACTTATTGGAAAAATGTAATTCACTCGTCACTCGGACGAAATTGCGAAAGTTGATCCTCCGTCAGATTCCACGTGTTGTTGACCTGGCAACCTACGGTGCTTTAAATTCGATTGTTTTGCAATCATTTATGATCTAGTGCTATTTGCAACGTAACATCCAACTTCTAGTTGTGTCTAAATTAACCTTGTTCAACGATAGTCAAACTTGTGAGCTGTGGAGATTTTGCTGTCGATTGCGTTTCTGACTCTCGTTCAGAGGTTACAGTGAATCAAGGTTTTTCGGATTTTTGGCGTGTTCTAAGCATCTTGTAAGTATATTACTAACACTTATTTGAGTTCAATGTTCACTAAGCATTATCACCTCCTACATACAAACTGTTTTCTTTTGAGCAATTGGTGTATTGCAGTGTTAAATTTGTCTCCTTAATTGAAGTTATCGATTAAGTAATTTATTCGGCGCATTATGGTTAGAAGCGATATTGCTATTTGTACAAAAGATAGAAATACCTCAAATACGTAAAATTTAACGTGCTGTGTAGAATTATTTGTGGTATTTTTTGATCAACGATTGATCTTGTAGTACTTGGCGCTTGTTCTTTTGCCAAGTGTAAGTGATTATCTGAGATATTATTTATCAGAAGGAAACATGAGGCTCCAATGGATAAAATCAGTCAACGGGGCAATCTATGTGAATATTGCCACTTCTTTATACAATCATAATCTTACAGATTAAGAAAAACTGTCGACAACTATCGTGTATATTTGATTTGAGCGACTGTTTCATTCTGTTTTATCTTCATCTTGTCATGTTCCTTAAGCCAATGGTCTGAGAAAAATTTTGAGATTCTTAACTGGTAAAAATGATGAAGATTCATTTGACTCCTTATTTGCGCAATTTTTTTGTACCGATGGTTGCGGTTAAACAGTTAAACCATTTTCAAAATTAAGTTTTTAAATTTTAGGTTTTTGTCGTTCGCGTAAATATATTTTTCCCATAATATAAGCACTTCCCAACGCACTTCAAAACATCTTCCTCGATTAAAACGATATCTTATCATTAAAATTAGCTTTATTGTAAGTTCTCCAGATTTTCTTTCAAAATTAATCGGCGCTCAACTTCTGGCAAGCCGAATCGGTGAGAGAATTTTATCACTTGCCACTCCTGTCTGTTAAAGCATCTAGCTTTCGTGGTTTTTCCCTTATTTGGTAAAATTAATCAGAAGGTTTTCAAGCAGTCCAGTAAAAATTGAGAAAAAAATATATTACGACACGCATGTATCACGACACTTTCCACCCTTGTCGGAGAATGTCACTTGGTAACAGAGATCAAGTGCAAATCACTGGATTAAGTTGCTAAAATCTTAAAATCCACTTCAAGGTTCCAAATTGAATGCAGCCATCGACGTAAACAACTTTAAGTGGTCGAAATGCCATTGCAGTAAAATACAGAGTAGTTGACAAACAAATCTTTGCAGCAAATAACGGATTGTACTCGAGTAGGAGCTAATTTCATCGGTGCGTTTGTGAAGTTTCCTCAAAAAAAGCCCCCGTGTTTTGTGTTGTTCTATGCTATGTAGCTCCATGACAGAAATCTCTGACAAATACGATACGTCAGCGAATAGTATTTCTCTGAATTTCGTTTTCGTTTTCGTTAAAAATACAGCTTGGTTGGAAAGATTTATTTCGTAATTTCGAACAAATATCCGAATAGATAGTTACAAGTTCTAAAAACTGAGTTGACTACACGTATCACTAGAATTTGTAAATCGATATTTTGTGGTAAAGGGAGGCGGTCTTAATCAAATTCTTCACGGTATTTCAAATAATTCTGTTTATTATGGTTTCTTAAGAAATTGTTTAAATTGACAGAGAAACGTATGGCCAGAAAAATAGGGTAAACTGAATAATTATGAAACGTCTTTCGAGTAGCTGACACTATCTTTACAAATATAGGCAATACAGAAACGCTGTAAGTTTCTAAAAAAAATTCTGTAGTGTTGCGTCTCGTGAGTTAGGGATATAACTATACAAGAGACTATAAACTGTGATCATATTTTCTTGAACAAAATAATTTAGTTTTATTAACTGAGTGCTAATGTTAATTGGTCTCCGTAAAGAGTTTTTTAAAGCCGACTTTTCGAGTGTTAGGCCTTCGTCAGAGCGTAAGTTACCAAAGAAACTGTGGTGTCTCTTCGGTGGGGTATAACAAGAGAATTTAATTTTATGAATTGAATTGATAATGCCAATTGGCCATCGAAAAGAGTTTCTGAAACTGACACTTAGAGCGTTAGCCTTCCGTCAAAGCGAATTAATAATTAGGTAATTTAGTGTTAACAACTGAGTTGAAAACGTAAATTAGCCACCTTAAAGGGTAAAAAAGCTGACGTTTCGAGCTTTAGCCCTTCGTCAGAGCGATTGTTTGTATACCTTTTCAATTTGTACACCTTTTCGTCAGACCGAATTAATAAATACACAGTTTGAATCGACGGCCAAGTAGCCTGTGAAACATAGTGTTGTCTGATGAAAGTATTGATAGATTCGTGATGTATTCCAACCTAATATTTTTCACCCCATTGTTTATCACCTGAGGAAGGGGGATGGGGGGAGTTCGTCGTCGTAGAATTTTGGATTTTGGTTGTGACACAATAAAAAATTTACTCTTCATGTAGCTTTTTAATATTCTCATTGTTTCCCCCCCTCACTGGAGGTTGGTTGAAATTTGCTGTCAGTTTTCTTTAGTCCCCGTTTCATTCTCTCTTGGTGACGACTGATCCCCCCTTTCCCTCCCCAAGGCCTGAAATTTTTTCCCATGATGACTCTGTAGTTTCAACAACCGAACATCAGTAGTTGTTGATTAATCAGTTAATCAAAACCATTACAATTTCCTTAAATGTGGTTGGTGCAGTATCTGCTTTATTTTTTACAAGTCATCTTGTAGAGTTATAATCGGACAGTTGGCTGTAATAGGACACTTGTAATCGGACAGTTGGCTGTAATCGGACACTTGTAATCGGACAGTTGGCTGTAATAGGACACCTGTAATCGGACAGTTGAAGCAGCCAATCATACTTAGTCCTTTCAGTCAAATCCACCGATCACAGAATTGATTACAATAACCATAGCAACAACCTCTCATCCTAAAAAAAGTTGGGGAATTTCCAAAGTTGAGGAATTTTTTTTACCAAGGCATTGTCTCTTCTGCACATTTGTCCTAAATGTATTTGTTGTTTTTGGAAAATTGTAAGAGTTGTGATTAATTGGTAACAGGACTTTGCGTCGTCCAATTCTGTCTGTAATCATACTCGTGATTGACAAATCGGACTCCCGCTTCGCGGTCATCCGATTTTGTTAATCACTCGTATGATTATAGGCCGAATTGGACTCCACTCGGTCCTATTACCATTATCAATCGATAACTGATTTAGTAAAAATCCGGGCTTTTGAATAGAAACGCTTCTCAAATTAACCATATCTTTTGTGATTTTTTATTTTACAGCTTTGTTCTGATCGCTCCAAACATTCGAGGCACAGAAGACCACGAGAGGCGAGAGATCAGTGAAACAATGCAGAATGAGGATGAGGGGTGAGTTGATGTTAGAAGGTCTTTTAATTTACCAGGCAGCAAACCTTGTTCTTAGAGTTTTAACTCTACTAGCAAGTTCTCGCTGGCTTCGCGGTGCCACCTGTGATGCTGCGAGGTTTGGTAGTTTCCTTCACCCTACCGACTCTCCTCGCCAGCCGCGTTGTTTTTCGCGGTTTCACGGGTCGCACCACAACGCCTGCTCCGATCCATCTAAGGCTATTGTAATCTCCCTTTCCTCCTCTCTCGTCTCGAGTTAAGGAGGATGTGGAAAAAGGGAACAACCTTGAAAGGAATTTTCACACGACAAACAACACTCTATGGTCTTAAAAGTTGAAGCACGGCACTTATATAGTCGCTTTTCGCGCCGGAAATATGACAAGGAAGATCTCATCGCAAATGACCTGAAAGCACTGAAATAGGACCAAATAGCATTAACCCTTAAACTTCCAGAGGTGATTAAAATGTAACGTCTCCCTACAATATCCATACACTACACAGCAAACAGGTAAAGAGAATATTCAAACTTATCAGGTAAAAGTTGTTCTTTTGATCCAACACAAAATTCTCGTAACTCATTACAAGAAAATATGTGGGGGATCGGGGGAAGATTTTACAAACGGATCTTGGGAGTTACAGTGAACAAGAAGACCGTCCGCTCGTTAATTCTTTCAGGTACAGAAGCTTTTAGGCAGATAATATCATCTTATTTCAACAAAACCTCGGGAGGCTGATATGTGGCTGAGAGCGCTTTCTTTTCGCTAGGAACTCGTTTATTGACAAGCCCGTGTGATGGAGGGAGGAGGGGTAGGGATTTAGTGTGTTATCTGCAATATGTCGGTTACCTCTGGTACCAGGGTTCATTTACAGTGAACTATTTCCATGTTTTAAGTCTCTGAACCTATATATTTGTGTACAGGAGAAAGCTAATAATGCATTTGTCTCATCCGATTAAACGGAAAAGAATCTTGATCGCTTGTTCAATCTTTATGGCTTGATTTAGTGTCGAAGACTTTGACCTTTCTCTAAGCCCGACTGATTTGCGTGCAAAAATGACGAAAACATTAACGAAGACTTGTTAGCCTGAGCTTGCCTTTAAAGAGGATTTGATTAAAACGACCCTTCCACTTTTTATTAAACGCCCTTTTCTTCTTTTTAATCTGACTTCCGATTCGCATCATTTTTCGATTGAACAATGTATTTTTCATTTTAACACATCGCCTTCGCTCTCTCTCGTCGCTTTCTTGAAACTCGGTATAAATGTTTGTAGAATGCGATCAGAAATGCTGAAGTTTCCTTTTAATTCAAGCTTAGGACGCTATCCAAGCTTTTGTTCTCTGTTCGAACATCTGCACAATGCAGCGATCATGCCAGAGAACTGGTCATTGCCTGCATTTTTATCTCGATGTCTCGGATATGAAATTAATCTCGTTTAATCCGATATCCGATTTATCACTTCCTTTTGATTCCTAAATGTGGCCTTTGCTTTTACAGCTGATTTTCTAAAAGTTGCGTCGCGAATGCTGCGGTTTAAAGATAGTTTTCAGCATTTTTCTGGGAAGCTTAACGCATGATTTCGCTTCAAGATGGTTTAGACTGAACACTACTGATAAATATTGTAACCTTCTCTGTTCAGTCTTAATCCTCGCCCTAACATAAGTAATCATATTCCCCATACTGTTTCTATACATCTCCTAGATTGCTAACAAGGAGAATTTGTTTAACAATTAAGAGTTTAGTTGGTAAATGATGATTATTCCTTTCACTCTCGCGACCTTTATGCTTGATTAAGGTATGATATTGTAAGGAGAAATTAGATGCTGGTCATTCTAAGGGGTTTAAGGGTAAAACGGAGCTACCTTAAAAGAAATAATATCAAAAAATAATTAAAAAATAACAGAACAAAAAAAGTATTACTCGCGACAAACACAAAACCTCACCAAAACTGCTTCGACCACGAAAACAAAGCACAAAATTTGTTCCCGTCCCACAGGGTGACAAGGACTGAAACTTAAGTCGTTAACGTTTTTTATTCTTGCACTGCTTGACTTGTTGATACCCTCGGAAAATTAAAACAATGAAAAGATAACAACCTTTCGCTGCCGTTGTACAAATCAATTTGAGACTTTTCAAAATCAAGGCTAGGTAATCACAAGTTCTGAGCTTCAATAAGGGCTGTAAATCAATTCACAGGAAAGGCACGGATATCATTAAAATCCATGTGTCGTGACCTGAAATTTTCGTCGGTGTCCGATTGCAAATGAAAAAAAAAATGTGATTCAATTTTGATCGCAATGAAGGGTATTGTGCGAGAAAACAATTTTCTTTGAAGTTTCAAGAGCTTCTTCCCCTGGGAGTCAACGTACTTCATGTGCTTCTGTTATTGTTGCCTTGGCAACGACGTATACAATCAATTGTATATGACCCCACGAGAAATGAATATCATTTGATTCATTCTTGATAAGACCGCAATTAAATGATAAAACTTGTGGTAGCTCGAGGGCATTCTGGTGAAAAATCGCGTGGGAAAACAATGAAGGTTCCTTGTCTTTTTCAAACGTCGAAGCCAGAAACTGGAGGCGAAGTGTCGCTTTACTAGAGCAAGCAAGCAACTCCAATTTCGCATTGGTCTGTTCACGTTGAATTAAATTCTCCAGAAATGTCGCAAGCCGTTCAGAGGCCGAGAATAACTCACACTGCCGTGACGGTTCGTCCCAAGTAAGTAGGTTGCTTTCTTTAAAACAGTAACAGTTCACATTATATTGTCAGGTTTAGAGAGTTTGTAATTGCTTCGGACTGACGCGCACTTCTCGCACAAGAGCAGCCTTCCCTGTCCTATAAAGTACGCCAACCTTTTCAGACATTTTGAAGTGTCTGTGTTGATATTTACAAAAATCGCATCAGGTCTTCAAAACAATAATTCGTGGCTGGATTTTTGATGAACTGCAAGCTTCAACAAAGCGCTCTTTTTCAGGCAAAGTTAGTCATACTGCGTTTATCACTTTTAGCTTCTCTTGGGACAATGATCACCCATTAAGTACACAGTTTACATGTAATCATTTGGTAAGAGAAGGGATGGTTTTTTATTGTTTTCAGCACAATGGTACATGCGTGGGTTATTTGTTCCGAATTTAGCCCCAAAACGGCTGCTTTCAACGTGTACACGTAAATAAATTATCATTTATCGATCTCAGTTTAGGATAATTTGCACAGTTCTGAGAACACACGGAATAAATCTAAAATTAAATGAAAATCGGGAAGTATAGGAGCGCACAATTCGCTCTAATGGAGATCTGTGGACAGAGCATGTTTGTTTTTCTTTTGTCGTATTATTTTAAATTCTGCATACTGAAATTGGTTCCTACTCCTTTCACAGTCAAACTAATAACTCAAAATTGCTTGCTTCGTTACTCTCGGACAGGATGAATCTATCTGTATCACAATCTCGAGGCCTTGTTTTTCCGAGAATTAATTTCCTTTATCGCTTTAGCTTCAGTTAAGTTTTCTCCGAGAGGCGGAAGCCAGTCTCTTCCTGTTGTTTTTGTTGTTTTTTTTGTATTTGCTCTTCGGTAGTTGTGAATTAAATCTGGCGCTTAAATGACTTTTCTTCATGGTGTACAGAACAGTCTCTCGTTTAAAACTGGGTAAAGTTTGAAATAAAAAAAACTTGGCATCCAGTCCCAACGCGGCTGCGAGCAGAACCAAGCACCTGGAACGCACACTTTGCAATACGTCGAAAGGATTGCCAGATGTTTGCTCCCATAAATTTTTCTGTGCCTAGATTTTTTTAAAGAATTTTCCTGATTTTGGCATCATCTGAGTTTTAAGACCTTACCCATAGAATGTCGGTCAGTTGATTTTCGTTAAGATCTTACAATAAAGTTACTTTTAATGACGGTAAGTTGACGATCTTTCACCGTATCGCTTTGTTGTTGTTGCCATAATAACACCATCCTCTTTATCTAGAGTTTAAGACATTTTCAACATAGCACTGATATCCTGTTTTAAAACAGAGTTTATACGAACAGGAAAGAGTGTTAGCATGCTAGCAGAAGCCGTTACTTTAAAAAAAAAAATTTAAAACGAAGATTGCTCCTGAACCACAGGACCAAAAAGGGTTAGCAATAAATTTGGTTATGAGTGAACTACGTTATTGTTCTAACATAAACTGGACTGTAATAAGCTTTGAATTCAGTGAATTTCCAAAAACCAGTCTGCCTTTGAACGAAATTTTCGAGAATTTCGCCGGAAATTGTTTCAATATGATTTTCCTGGCATGTTTGCAAACATGTTGCAAACATGCGTACGAGATCATATTGAACTCATTACTGTTGTCTAATTCTGTAATAGAGTTCTCAGTTTCAAACGGTAGTTAGTTAGATCTTTGCCGTCAGATGTTTTTATAGTATTCATTTACATCCATTCTAAGGAACAAACATACTTAAATGATAAAGAGGGTAAGTTTTTATAGAAACTGTGATGCTGCCTCGGTGAAAGTTTAACAGGGTAGTTTAGTATTATCAACTGGGTTGATAACGTAAATTGGTCACCGTAAAGAGTTTAAAAGCTGACGTTTCGAGCGTTAGCCCTTCGTCAGAGCGATTGGAAGAATTGTGGGTGGAGTGTGGGTTTATATTCAGAAAATGTAGCTACGCTATTAGTGGGAATATGGTGACGAGAAAACAAAAATAAATAGTTGAATGAAAAGCGCTCGTTGATACCGGGGAGATTAAGAGTGTAGATATCGGCAAATTTCCCAGCTATACTTAAACGATAATTCCTTATGAATGGCTTCGGATAATCCACCTAAATTTCTTAATGCACGTTTAATTAAAGATAAACTAGGTTTTTGCAAGAAATAATTTTCTTAGTATAGCGAGCGATCTAAAGTTTGCAACTCAAAATCGATCTTTGTAGACTAAAATTATTATTATGAAATTACTGTTATTGAGCTACTAACTCACAAAGTTCACTTCAGTGAAAATCGTTTTGTATGGAAGATATTGATAGACGGTTTAACCCTTAAACCCTTGAGATCGACTAGCATCTATTTTCTCCTTACAATATCATCCCTGAATGACACATTAAGGTAACGAGAATAAAGGAAATGATCACCAATTTAAGAAACTCGTGATTGCTGAGCAAATTTTCCATGTCAGCACTTGAAGAAATTTATAGAGAACAGTATGGAGAATATACATACTGATATTAGGGTGTAAGGGGATAAATGTGCGTAAGTACTCTCAGTGTGCGGTAAGGGAGGACAACAATCTTCTAGTCGCTGTGACTGTTGGTCAAGGCTTAATCCCAAAATAACATTTTATCTTGTAGCAATTCGTTAATAGAAGCGCCAGACAAAAGTGAAAAGAAAGTCTAGTCAGTGACTGTACCGAAATGTTTTAATCCGATTATAATTTTGCACGGGTCCGGGGATGTTTTGACTACTGAATAACTTGTGTATATCAATGGCGTACTGGTCGGAAGGCCACTCGACAACATGGCAAGTTCGTGGAGAGAGGTAAACGACAGGAAATTATTTTTTATCCTGAGAACAATATACATAAAATTGTGCTTTGCTTTTTTCGACTGATGAAAAATTGAAAATCTCTTTTGCAGCGTGTGCATAACACCGCTCTTATCCCAAAGTAATCCAGCGTAGTAAGAGAATTCTCGCCCAGTTTCAGATGAAAATTTGTAATGGTAAAATCACATATAGATTGCAACACCAGTTGTTGAGCTAAATGTTGGGAAGAATTTTGTTCTCTGTTAAAGGGTGTTTAAAGTGAAAGAGTGCTACCCCGAATTCCTTAGTCCAAAGACTCGACCACTCTTAATGGAGCATAATGTAAATTATACTCTTTTTTTAATTTTCGTTTCATCAAATGTATGCTACCAAGGTTTGGATGAAAGGATTGAAGGTTAATAAGTTTGGAACTGGCTTTACAACCGCATCTTACAATGATCCTTTTGTAATGAAAAATAAATTATCCTTTCATTGTTCTCCTAGACCTTAAAGTAAAGAAATATGCGATTACTAGATCAGAGAAAATCTGTTGTGATTAAGTTCAGCTGCATGACAAAATTTTGTCCTCGTTTCCACTCGCCTTCTTAAACAAACGACACAAGTACTACAGTACGGGAAATAAAAAAATTTCGTTGCCATGAGTGAATTGTCCTTCTATCTTTTGTTTGCAAACAGATTTTGGACAAAAAGCTCTCTTGCGCCGTTGTCAAGGAATTGCGAAACCAAATTGTCCCTAAATGTTCGCGCGAAGTAGACCGTCAGTTAAGCCTGAGGGATCAAAAACTATTTACTCTTTTCTTTTATCTACTCTTTTCTCTCCGAAGTTCTAAAGATATCAACTTAGCATTCTTCGGTAAAAGAGACTTGTAGCACTTTTGGCCGTGGGTGTAGAATGCTCTTTGTTCAGTGACGGCGTTTCAAACATTCAAGATAGCTAGAGTTTCAGGGTTAATTTTGCATTTCAAACAGGGGCAAACTGTAAAGGAAAAGAAAAAAGGTGAGCCCTCTCTTAGTAATATATGTTTCACTTTCTTTGCCAGATTCTTGTGATAAAGGTTATATCTCCGCTTTAGGTGAATAACGTGGGTGATAGCAGAACTGCTAAAATGGCTGGTTTTTTTCATAGCATAGATTGTTCTGAAGAGAAGAATACTGATTTGTGAGTGATTCATTGAGTGGCCGGTCAATGGTACAAGAATGATTTGTATTATTTTCACTAATTCCTAATTTGCATGTGTAATTCAATGCACTTGTTGATGAATAAACATTGCCGCGCGATTGCTGAAACGTTAAACAAAGCATAAACTCCTCGAGCCGAGAACTTTTAGTCTACCTCAGTGGGAAACCAGTGAAAATATTGATGCAACTCGCTATGATGGCAACACATCGTGAAGAAACTAAACGTAAGTAATTTAGAATTTTAGAGTTGCTATAAGTTATGAAAGCCAACAAGTTTCGATGCGTTCTTTGTTGAACTCAAAATAGAAACTACGTCTTAGTGTAAATTACGCTGGTCGATCACTGATAGCATTCTTTCCTTGATCATCCAGTTTAGCTGTCTTTCGCCATTAAGTGATGCCTGATTACAGTTAAAAAAATGTTTGCCCTTTGGAAATATAAACAAAAAACACTTTGAGGAGATGGTATATTTATTCTGCTGTGTCTATCGAAACGTTAACAATAGAATTTTATTCGTTGTTGATATATCAGTAATTACAGGCGAGCTAACAGGGATTTACACTACTCGGATGATGGCGTTTCTTAGTTTCAAACGAAAGAACGAACCATTCCGTGCAAAAATGTATCTGCTAGCAACAGAGCAATAAATCTCTTAGGAGACAGTTAATATACACCAAGGCGTTAAAGTAATCCGTAAATTTCCGACAGAGTGCGAAAAGTTGACGCAAGTGAAACATTCGATTGTTTTTCTCTCCATTTGACCAATATTTCTAAGACAACTGATGTATGTATAAATCAAATTTCCAAGCCATTTCCGCAGATACTGATTAATGGATGATAAACGACCTCCCATTTGCAACCAACGATCTTGGCCCACTTGTTTCGTTTTTGCTCAGTTGCTGTCTCCAAAAGTATAATAAATTTGCCCTTGTTTTGGGATTCAAAAAATTGTTCAAGCTGCCTACAACGAACTGCCACCGAATTAGCTGGTCCAAGCAAAACATGAATTTTTACCTGCAATTTCTTTAATTCCACCGGCATGTTGTCATGTTCCTGACACGAAAACCCGTGCTTAAGGTCGATATGTTTATTGAAACACGAGTGATGATAATGAAATACATCCTAAATTCGACATAGAACATGCATTTTTGCGAGATACTTCCTTGTTTCATGGAAAAAAAATTTTTTTCAATTTTCTCTCACTAAATGTAATCAAGAATTAGACATTTAAACAAAGCAAATTTGACGAGGAGCACCCATTTAGATTGTTAATAAATGGCTCAGCGCGTTTGCGGTTGAGTAAAATTATTGTAATTAGTAAGTTCAAGTATTACATTTAGGGCAACGGGTAAACCGCAACAATGAATTATAATGTGCTTCCTCTTTCACCATTTATCAAATCATGACTCTTTCACTTCGTTCGAATATTTTCACTTCGGTGTACAAATGCCTGCAAGCAGGCGACAAAAGTTTGATTGACACATAGATTTCACATAACCCAGTGTCTGGGTTAGAAATTGATCTAATATGACGTCAAAATGTGGCATGGACAAAAAAATAGCACAAGACACGTAGTCGACTTTGTCACTGATTTTGTTACCAAATGTTGACGTCTTCCGTTACTGTGCAGACCCGCGGCAGCATGGAATCTATTTGTTTTATATGATAAAGAAATAACATGTTGTTGACGGAGACGACATTTATGCGTCTGTCCACTGATAGATCATAAGTATAAACTCAGCTAAAGACATGTATGATTCAACTATTTACATAATTGTTGCCGTGAGCCGTAACGCCCTGCTTAACCTGTTTCAAGTGTTATTTTTGACGTAAATGTTTAATGTGCGTATTTATATTTTTTTTTTCGGAATTGTAGAAGTTGAAGAAAGCTTGTCATTGTGACCAGCTAAAGTGATATGATGAAAATTTTTGCGAAATACAAATGTTCTTTCTTTTCCGTCTTACCTCCTTTAAGAGATCATAAACAGTTGATATTCTCTTGTTTGCTTAAAGTAGGAATCATTTTCAAGCTGAGATCACGAAAAATAAGCCTTCACTTCACTGTTCTTTAATGTAATGCGAGGATCTTGAACGAGCTAACAGCATGCCCTTTTTATCATTTTTAGCTTTCGCAATCACCAGATAAGAGGGACGCGGGAAGCCTGGATGGCATTTCAAAGACAACGTCCAATGTTAGTGCCGGGAACTGGCGCAAGAAGCTGGCCTAATTCAAGGCCCGCTGGATGTAAGTATAACCCAAGCCCTCTTATCCTAAGACTGAAAGAAAGGTTTTACTCAAACTGCTTGTTGAGAGACGCGATACTAAATGGTTAGCGAGCTTGACTTCCGAGCGTTAAGGTCCTTCTCGAATTCTGGGCACTGAGTGATATTGACTTAACTTTTTGCATGAAGGGTGTATTAACTGTTTCAGGCGTTCAGTTATTAAAAACAAAACACGATAGTAAACAGCACTATAGTAGCAAAGGAGTTAAAAAACGAGTGAGGTTTGGAGCGGGTTACCTGACCCGACCCAGGCTTCCCTCGCTTTTCACTCCAACGCGACTATCGCGCCATTTGCTATTTTGCGCCGTTTTACTAACTGAACGCCTGAAACAGGCTTAGGGTGTATTAAGCCTTGAACTCTTAAGAATATGATTACTAGCATTGGGGTGTAAAGTCTCGTAATTGCCCTATGTCTTTTAGGCTCTGTCATGATTTGTTATAAAACTGAAAATAAAAGGTAATTTTATTCATGGTGTGTCCATCACTAGCCACCTCCTCTTCGGTGGATAGTTGTTAATTATTTTCAACATAAAACATTTCAAAGGACAAGTCTATTCGTTAAACGTCTCCGCAACGTGCAGATTTTTTCCTAACTTGGTGTGTTTTTCCCAATCAGTGTCTACTTTAGAAATGGGCTTCAACAGACGCGCAGTGTCCACCACAGAATCGCACTCGCGAAATCTTCCACCGATGGAATACAATCTGCGGCCGGGGAACAGGAAAGTTGGGATTAAAGCCGAAACAGGAGATAAAGGACAGCAGGCTTGGGCCAAGACATGGGCTAGAATGCGTGCAGAACAAACTAATGTACATGCAAAAGGCTGCACAAATCACAAGCGTCGAAACCCAACAATAAGCCGCCTGACAAACACAGGATTAACATCAGCATGCAAGAGGAACGAGATCGTAGCGATGAATGAAAAGGAAGCAATGGTGTACAAGAGGTTAAAAGGAATCTATGCCAATTCTACAGATAAATCAGTTAGGGCTCAGCGATTAAAAGACAATATAAATTCACTGCAGTCCAGAACACTGCATTCTGAGATAGACCACAGCTTGAAAGAGTACAAGAAAAGAGAGGAAGAGGATAAGAGGAACCGGTCAGAACTTAAACGTCTAAGAGAAAGGTATTCGCGCGATAAAGATCGCAGGAATAAAAGATCTTATTTGAGTTTGAACGCATTAGAGTCACCCCAAGTGTCACGCCATGCTTATGGGTTACCCGAGGAAGGACATGAGCATATGCAATCCGGAGTCACGCAACAAGCTCAGGAAAGGTTACGTGACATTTGGCAAAGTGCTATGAAGCGGGCCGCGTTGGTTGATAAAATATTAAACTCATGGACGCAACAAAAAGCACCTTTACCTGAAATTAAGATAAGAAGACAAAGTGTGTCCCATAAAGAAGCGAGAAGGCCGAGCGATGAAGAAAATATAGAGGACAAATTGCGCCGAAACTCCAAAGAGACTGTCAATCAGCTTGAAATGGTTTTAGGAGAAATAGATGTTATGTCAACAGGTACGTTTTTCACAGCTTATTTCTAGATGTTGTTTTAAAAGAATTTTGTATTATTCCAAAGTTAATTTTAAACTTTAAGCTGTCAACAAAAACTATACTAATTCGACATTTCGTTTCCCTTGTCAGTCAGTCTAGCAGATAGCACCAGGCCAGGCAGCGAGTCGGTCGGTCAGTCCGTCCGTCGGTAATTCGGCCGGTCAGTGAGCCAGTGGATCACTCAGTCGGTCAATCACCAGGTTTTTTGTTCGTTCGTCCCTCCGGCCTCAGTAGTATGTTAGTTAGTTAGTTAGTCAGTCGGCGTATTACAATTTATTAACGATTTGCAATTTATTTTTTCAGTTGTGTCGGACTCAGACGAAGAAGACCCTGAAGATAGTGAACAGGACATTGTTTGATATTATAGACATTTGAAAGTTTCATTTGAAATTAATTTCCATCGCTTTACATTTATCTTACTCCACAACAAATCATGTGGCGAGGAAATAAACGAATCATTCGAAAGCTTTTCATCGTCCTGTTAATAATGAAATCACCCGGTGGTTATATAGCAATTTTCAATTGATTGTCGAGAGCTGTCCCTAGATATTCCATTTTGAATTGGTTTTTCCTTTACTTTTATATGGGATTGGTCCAGAATACTCGCACCTATTTCTCAGCCGAGCAGATTCAAAAGTGTTCATCCACGTTTTCCCGCGCTGCAAACAGTTTGCTTGTTTTACCTTGAATTGTTATTGGCTCGCCGTGTTATTTTCTTCAGTTCAAACAGGTTGTTTTGCATTACTTTGGTCAGTTTTTGTTTTACAAGATCTATTATGAATTTCCCTGTTCTTATTCTCTTATTTCAAACGAAAAATTGATATTTTTAACTTGGCTGTTAGTGCATATTTAAAAAAGTAACGATTTAGGTAGTAATTTTTAAGTATAATCAATGAAATCAAAGTATCTTTATCAGGAACATATGTGAATAAAGTCATATTTGTTGTAGGAACTCAGAGATATTCAAAGAGGGTCTCGATAGGGTGAAAATAACAGCTAAAACTTTTAGCTATTTTACGGCAAAACGGTTAACTTCCCTTTGTTGTGGTTAGGTTTTTACTAGGACCAACAGTGATGTTAATAAATATCGTAAGCCATTTCTCAAGAACGTACTAATGCGCAATAAAACCGGAATTGCACATTATCTGAGACAAAAGAGTTCATTTGTTGGCGACCATACCGCTGAAAGGGAGCCAGAATGACCCTGAGCTCGAGATTGCACCTTTGGCGGGAAACTTATACCGCTGCCCTTTATTTTGGGTCAGCCTGATGAATAAGAACTCAATTCCCGCACGGCTCGTCTGCGTGCACAGCGTCACATCATTATCCAGTTGATATTCTTGAGGCAACTTTTGGTGGTTGAATTTAAGGATGTTTTTCAAATTACAATTATGCGAAGGTCTTCATATCTCTACAGGTGAAAATTATTCGCAATTTTCGTAATTTTGAGACGAATTTGGCGTTTCATTTCACCTCGTTAAACAATCAGCGTGGGCCACTTTACTTCGTAGCCATGAGCACGTGGGTTGAACGAAAGGAGAAGTTACTGCCGTGGTACAAATGCACAATTTGAATAGAATAGAGGGAATGATAGGTGAAGGGAACTTTCATAAATTTAACTTATTGAGAATTCATTATTTTCCTCATAGGATATAAATGAACGAACATCAATAGTGACCTTCTATGACAAAGGTCAACTGCGTGACGTGACGTTTCCACGCTCTTGTGGGCATGTTTGCACAGCTCCAATAGGATTTTAATAACGATTTAAGTTTATTTGTCCTCACGCTTTTTCAAAGAATTGAGATTATGTTTTCGTTCATTCAAGGATTCATCGACAAACTTTGTGCAAAGCTGGATTTGTCACGCAAGCGTCAGCAGCAACGTGCGTCACTTGAATGGACTAGAAGAGCGATTGCAAGGTGAGAAATACCTCTTTTGGGAGCGGAGGGGGGATATCGACTTTCGTACCTTCTCCCGAACCCACGCACTCGCAAGGGCGGATCCAGGCCAAAAATTTTGGATGGGAGATGGTTCAAACAAATTCAGGAACACAGCAAACTTTTCTTTATCGAATCTATAGCCTAAATAAGCAGAGAAATAGAGGTCTGGTGGGAAGGGGGATCCGGACCCCCACAGACCCTCCCACTGGGATTGTCCCTGCACCAGGTTGAGTCCTTTAGGAGATGCCATATTTCATTCCTGACTACGATTGCCCAAGATTCTTTGGAGTGTACAAAATCATAATGATATATATATTTATATTTTTAAACAAATCTTAATGTGTCTTCCTGAAAATTTCTCATTTTTACAAAAATATCTGTACATCTCTTTAGAAGGATGTTACAACTACAACTTCCAATTTTTAGCAGAACTAGACAATGCTCAGATATCGGTGGACACTTGGGAACAAATTAGCCAAGTGTGTTTGATTTTGAAGCTTCTAAAAGTAATCAAGAACAGGTTCTTGTGAGGCCATCTAAGTATCCAACTCGATCCCCGAGTGGTGTAAAAACATCGTGTGTCATTTTCTACGAAAACCTCACAACTCACTTCGCTAAACAAATAATTATGATATATCACGAAGCAAAGAAAATATGTAAGAAATAACTTTTGCTTGCCAAGAAACTTTTATAGTTTTCTTTAATTTATCTTAAAACTTACCTAAGCCCTTTTAAAGAAGGAGTGAATCGTTTTCCTCTTCAAACAGAGAAAAATTTTTTTGACGAAGAAATGTACAGCAGATATGTTCACTAGATAATATTTCGCTTTCGTCTTACTCTGACTCTATACCTTCGACTCGACTCGGTATTTGCCTTGAGTAGTTGTTAAAATGCAACAGAAATTCCCGTGGGAGTTCGTTTGTCATCATGCTGAATTCGAACAATCGATCGCTCAATACAACCAAATGTTGCTGATTATAGAGTCTTTTTGTTTGCTATTATTAGAACAATACAGCCACCACTTTGTCGCGGACAAACCCGTAATCTTGTCTTATTGACAAAAGATCGATACATGAAAACTCCCCCGTAGACGTTGAAGTTACATGCACTGAAGTGGATATCAATATGTTTACAGTTCTCGACTTAAAGGTTTCCTCTTTTTTAATGCTAATGAACGCCATAATCAGAGGTAAATTTCAACATTGAGAGATCGGTTACATTTCTCACACAAGTCAAGAGCCTCTGTGAAAAAGTTCGTTCATAAAGCACTTAACTCAATTGAACGCAGCATTTTCACGCTGATACTAACAATACTGGCCTTCGGAACAAAGAACTCATTCAGATGAGGACCCAGTTTGGGAACAAAGGCATTTTAATGTCCCTGGTGGTTTCACGTGTTTTTCTGTATGTGACAACACTGAAGCTTGTTTTACCACTGGCAAGGAGTCTAGCAACAAGAAAAGAAGGTTTCTCTGCTGAAAAACAATACGAACACAGGGAAAACAGCAAGATGTCTTGTAAATACGAAGCTTTAATTTAGTACAAAGCTCTAAAGCAAAGTGTGAGAGAAATGGGTGGCAACATTTAACAGCCAACCTTAGTTTTTTTTAGATTTTCTTGTTTCTATCTCATATGCGGCCACTTTCATTATGATATTATATTATTCTGTCACTATTATCTTAATGACAACAAGACATTTAACAGTAGACTAAACTTAAAAAAATGGGGATTGTTCTTTCAAATCAAAGAAACTTTTCGATAATCCATGTGAGTGTTTTGTCGAAGATATTTCCCCGTATAAAATTGAGGGAACATATCTTGAGATGTGGCGGCTCAAGATTGCATTGCTGTTTTAAACAATTGTTAGTTTTACTCAGGTGATTAAAATTTTAAACTCCCAATCTGGCGGATAGTATAACATGACGCCAACTTTTTGAGCGAGTTCGAAAGCTTCCGACTAATTTTTGACGCTTTAAAGTTGTATAAAACGACAGGGCGCCATTACCGCAGTATATGAAAGAACACCGCTCAAATGTAACTTTTAACAATAACATCATTTAACATGGTTTTAATGGATAACATTTTAGCTTGCTATTCATAGACAATTTTAGGGAATACGAGAATTGTTTTAATTTTGTGTAACAACGCATCGTTTAGGAGCAATTGAAAGAGAGTGTGAAAATAAACGCTTGATATGAAGAGGTAACGTCCGAGTTCCAAACGCTCAATCTTGTGATTCTCAAATGTTCATAATTGCAACTTTTTCGCAAGACTTCACTTGTGGAGCTTAATTTAGAACGACTGTGATTTTCAACCGAAGAAAGGACCTAAATATTCTTTCAAAACAACATTAAAATATAAAAAGAATATAAATATATTAACATGTGTATAATCGATTTCAGCGCTTCGTTGAATCGAGTGCTTGCATGATACTCCTCGAAACAAAATACTGAAAAAAGCTGGTTTACTCAAACGAAGGTAAGTGATAATTTCCCATTAAGAATATCCAGCCAGAACTTTAAGACAGGATAATAAAACTGAAATGGATAAATATTTCATAAATATAGTGCATTAAAGAAGTAGACTATTTGCCTCGAGTTTAGAAGTGTTTATTGCATATTTCTTTAGTTATCTGTTGCACGAATTTTAAGGGAACGCTGGGACGAAGCATAAGTCACGTGACTTCAAACGACATTCAGCTTTTCACAGATGACCAATTGAAGTTGGATGGTATTAGCCTAACACAGACAGTCGCTTGCTGAGTTTCGAATTAATAAGTTTAAGTGTGATAATTTCTGTTTTTTTCTCACATGAGAGATCTCAGCTGAGGCTATAGCAATCGGGATTTTAGTGTACAAAAATATGCCACAAGGAAAATAAATCGACTCGATTGATTATCAAGAATTTTTGAAAATGGAAAAACGTGAAAATTCGCCCATCGTTAAGTTCTAAAATGATTTTAAGAGTTTAAAAGAAAGTATGAGAAAAAATTGACCAAATCAAAAATTGTGAATGTTGAAAAGATGAGTTTATCAAAGTGGACAATACATATTTCTTTGAGTGTCAGTTATGAGAATTTTTCAGTAGATCAAGTTATCTTTCTAAGGCGGTTTCAAGCAAGTGAGTGTTGTTATGTTTTTACCGCTGCATCTTTACGACAAGGTTGACATTGAAAACACGTATACCGGTTTTTAACTCGAGAACACCTAATTCAACTGGCACGAGTTTTATCTACGATAATTATCTATGAGCGTCGTATGCCGGTTAGAACTTGAAGTAACGTTGATTTTATCTTTTAGAGAAGATAATTGCGACACGTTCTTGGTCTTTGTTTATGTTCATTTGATCACAGCTGTGAAAATTCAGTATTTCAATTCGTGTTTTTATACCACTTCCAGAAATTTCACCCGGTTAGAGATAGCTTAAATTAGTTTTGTCCACAAAAAACAAGCTCGTAAGCTTTCAAACATTCCAATCTGACGGTAGCGTCCTTCATGCTGGCAATAGTGTGCTTTTCGACATCCAGATTGACTCGTCAAAATGTAATTCCCTTTTTATTCTGCGTTAGGAAACTTTAAACATCGTTTGCCGATGATGTTAAGGGCAAATGGCAATGTTTGCACGATGTTTGTATTTTGTATAAACAAGCTTATGAAAAATGTACGGGGATGTGATTGTGAAACAGCCCAGTCCAGATGGTCTTTTCCCATGGTGAAAAAAATAAAAATCTTCTGTCCTATGAGGCAGAAAGGCGTATTTATCATAAATCTTTTATTGAAAATCGCTCAACCATTTACGGCTAGGAGAGGAAGAGATAATGCCCGCGAACTTTGCACAAAAGAAAAAATAAAAACCTTTCGTCATGACGTGATGTAGTGATTGATTGGCAATAAAATCCCATCACCTGTGCGAACAAAAAGTATGAAATTCACAATTATTAAATCAATTTTTAACTCATCTTGAAGCCGAATCTGTCTCGATTTTGTACCGATTTTGTACTTAAAATCAAAACTTTATCGCCCAAATATAATACGGTTATTATTCCTCACGTCACTGTTTCTCGAATAAAAACTTCTATGAAGCATTTTTTCACTCGTGGATCCACTCAAATACCACCCGGTTTTGTTTTAGTTCAGTTCCATTATGGTTAAATCAATCGGATCTTTTTACTCGCGACAGCGGGTCATCTCGCTCAATTTACCCGAGTTTTAATACTGATGATCTCACTGTAAAGCTCCCAGTTAGGACCTAATGCATATTCCATTTGCAGTGCGACAAAATAACAAGTATTGCCCGCGCATTAGCTGTGTATAGACCTCCCGTGTAATAATCGTGTTTATCCTGTCGAAATGACCGCAGCTTTAGGCGAAAGAATCGTTTAGACTACAGTTTAAAGAAGAGTTTTTCTCGCTGCCTAAGTGCATAAAGAAAAATAATCCATAGTTACATGAGCATTAGGGTATCTTCGTAGCTGCTTTAAAAGGGCTGGGAAATGTTTTTTTAAATCTCATTAAATTTTGAAAGCGAAAAGTGCGAAAAAGTTTGACGATTTTATTCAAATGGGTTTTTGAAAAACAAGTGTTCAATGGGAGATACACCTCACTGTTTTAAATGATAAAGCGAGCTGTTGTTATGTATAAAACAAAAATACCCTGCCTGTCTCAGAAATTCAAACGACACATGAAAGTATCTTAAACTACCCGCAAAAATGTGTAGATATATAGGGCCATCTTGCCACGCCAAGAAAATTAATAAATTTTATGAATGAAGAATTCTCTTGTTCTTCCAAGATTTTTTTTCCTTTTTGTAAAGCACTGCTTGAATAAGAAGCTGAGCAAGAACAAAACAGAGTAATTTTGCTCTAACACTTTCATTTTATCAAGGCAAAGTATCAAAAGCTCTACCGGATATTTCTTAATTGAAATTTACTTAGCTTAAATAAATGAACTGCGAGGACGGAATGTCTTTCTTTATCAGCCACGGGCCATCTTTGTTTAAACAAACAAAGCTTGTCTTTTGTGGAACGCTAATAGGTTAAGAATTCGAAGTTAGCCAAGCGCAATCTCTTAACATAGTGTGATGATTTCTTGGCCCGCTTTTTTTTTTTTTTTTTTCAGAGTTTTAAACCGACCAGCGCGACAATAGCGTATTTTCTCGTTAATGCCCTAAAGTTCTGTGCTTAAGTGAAATTCATTATTTAGTGGATTTCCAAACAGCTCGTATGGGAGATTATTAAATTGTAATGAAGCTATTTTCGATTAACCATATGGTGGTTTTCATTGATAATATTCATCGTACCGCGTTTGAAAGCAAGCGAAACAAAAAGTAAACGAATCGCTGATCAAATTCAATTCTTCGACAAATCAGTTTCTGCTCGTCCTATTCTCATCCTCGTTTTCCAATCTTACAATCATGACACCTTTATTACGTTTACGCACACTACAAATCCCGGATACGTCGTAACTGCAAGTTAATTTGTTTCTGGCTTGATTGACCTGTCTCATACTTGACTTGGTTAAGTGGAAAATTTGCGCGAAACACCGCGCCAATTTTCGATATGGTGTTTATATTTTATTTCTTTGAAAGAAGTATTTTCTTCCACTTTAAAATTTTCATCAGCTGTTTCCAGCTATCATTGGCTTAATAGAGCAAAGACGTCAATAAAAGGGAATTCGCAAATGAGCCGATCATAAGCGCTGTTGATCGTGATGAGATGTTTGTTCTGGCGTAAATTGGCGAATGTTTATTATTCGATGCTGGAAACTTCACCTCGAAGCTCATTTCTAAATTTCACAGTTTTCATTACAATGAGGTATCCGGCAGCTTTTATTTTTTGGCTGCTTATACTTTTAATTAGTTCCAAGTCATTAATTGAAAATGGGAACAATGTATTGTAATAATAATGAAATTGTAAGCTATATATAATTGGATTGCTCCTTAGAACAAGTCACTCTTCTTGAACTTGGGTGGAGCGCGAACCACAACTTAAAAAATACCAGAGTCAGATAGATCTCTAACGCACGATGCACGCTTACGAAGGTTCGCAGTCGTCTTTCATCAACTCCATGTACCGGCCAAGCTCAGCTCTTCAGCCTTCTAACCAACAATCATACGCGAGCTATAAATCCCAAACAGAATACCCGATGGCTGTACGATTTGATTCTCACCCACTTCACAGCCTCTCCGCGTACAACTCGGGCTCATTTTCGTTCTATCCGTGCGCGTCAAGTCATCGCTACGTCCACGACTTGAACTGTAGCTACACGGCCGGATCTCTGCATAGCGGTAAGATGTCCTCAGACTCTTTTCCTTTTAGCTCTTAATCTGAATTCCTTAGATATTAGTTAGCGACCGCGAGATTTGCTTTTCAAGTGTTTCTACCACCCACTGTCTACTTTAGCGTCGTTCGCCGAAAAAAAACATCAAAGACTTCGATCCCGTTTATTGTCTTCAAAGTGATAACCTCACAGTTTGGAAACTGATATAAAATTTTGCCAAAACGTTTGACTTCTCTGGTAAGATTAATTATGAGTTATCTACTTCGCTCATGATGAAGATAAGAGAGCATTTTCCAGCAGGGTTGTAATTTGTTTAACTTTGGTAAATGATAATTTTCTATCACTTTCTCTAAAGAAAGACACTAATTTGCTTTCTGGAAGAACGAGCACGAAACCGCGTGAAATCTGAAAACGCGTGTTTTATCTTTTTGACACTGTTTCGTTTATTTTTACAGGGTTTGTGGCGTGTCGCCGTCCGAAGAGGATCAGAACAGCTTTTACACCAACGCAACTGCTTCACCTAGAGAACGCTTTCGAAAAGAACCACTACATTGTGGGCACAGAACGCAAGCAGTTAGCGTCTTTCTTGAGTCTTTCCGAGACGCAAATTAAGGTCTGGTTCCAGAATCGCAGGACCAAATGGAAGCGTCAACAGGCTGAGGAAAAAGCTTCTTCACAAGCTAAAAGCTCCGGCATAAGTGTCAGCGAATGCCATGGAATAAACAGTCAGCTGCAGAAGGAAGAAAACGAACATTTGGTTTGATCTTCTGGAAATTACAATTCTCACGAACAAGTAGAAATCACGGGTAATTATCATCGGCCTTTGGCGCAAAACGTTCGATTCCAAAGCCTAGCACTTAGAATTAATCGAACGTGATCTCTTCTTACTGGATTAATCCATTATCCTCCCTGGCGCCAAAGAACAATTCCGATCAGAACTCTTATTTCACTTGTAAGATATTAAACTTTACTTAAGAAATAAAAAGAGTTTCTCTTTCATTGAAGACACACACACGAAGAAATGCGGTTCTACTGATACCAAAGTTTTTTCTTCTTTTCTCAAGGATAAGTGCTTACTTACTAAGAACCTCTGTGAATTCGTTTTATGTTAGGATCTTATTAGTATCTTTTTAGTCGACTTCAAATCCATCTTTGTATTTTTATTCTTCGTAGAGATAATTCGCAATGATGAGAACTTTCTTCGTTCAGTTTCTTCCCTTTAATTTCTGTTAATTCCTGTTAGTTTGGAGGACCTTTCTTGTCAGTTATAAATCATAATAACATTTACCTCAGCTTTTCTCAGAGGATGAGGTTACAGGCCAGTACAAACTATTCTTTGCCTACAAGAGTGCAAATAGTGTACAATCTTTTTTAAAGCGGCATTTAAGGAGATCAAGTAGGCGAAAACTGAAAGGTGTATACAATTTATAAAGCCATATAGAAGAAAATTCACTTAGTGTAAAGTTGTACAAAGATAAATTTCAAGATAACCAGTGTGTAACATATATTTGCTGACCTTTATCAGGACATAAAGATTGTAAATGAATCAGAAGTGGCTTTGCTGAAAAAAAGAAAGTATTGAAGAATAAATAAAAGTTATTAACTTAAAAACCGTAGATGTTTTTGTCTATTAGTGTCCCTTATGTCCCTTACAGAAACATCTAGAACGAGACATTTCAGGGGGGGTTTTCTTACGCCAGTTGTTTGTATGAATATTTGTGCACCCGAAACAAGGCAAAAGGGAATTTTTCGGATGCAGCATCCATAATAGAAGAATTTCTGGCGTAATCGAATTGAATCACATTCACGTATTTAAGTAACTTGTTAAAGTTGTATAAAGCACCACGAGTGAGAGAGTTCCAGTTGCGAAAATAAGATTTCATGGGCTCTCGATGTATAATTATGCACCCTAAATCTAAATATTATATATGCTGTAGCCTCTGGTTTTTGCCACCTGTTATTTTTTTCTTTAAATAACACATGACCATCAAAACTCAACTTTCTTTTAAAGTGGAGATTCATTCCTTCTAAAAACCCACTTTCACAGCAATTTCAAAGACACATCTTTCCTTCATAAAGAGACGAATAGCCGAGCGATCTAACTTACACAATTAAAAATGAGTAATGTATGTTTACAATTTGTGTTTTTGACGATGGAATATACCATGAACTCGCCTAAAACTCGTTCACGCAGTCGAAATCAACGCTTTTACGGTCCAATCTCCCTGAACCTGTAATTTCTTGGTTAATTCTTGTTGATCTGGCCTTTAAAAGCAATTTACGGCCTTTGCCTCCGTGCAATGAAAATAAAATCGACTTAATGTAGGGGTTAATGAAAAATCCATGTCCGTTAGAGATGACTTCTGTACAGATTACAGATTAACTACGATGCGGTATACAGGAAACTTCGTTTTCGCTTTTAGTTTATTTTACAGAGAGATCATGTTAGATGTGTTCATTGAAAATTTGGCTAGTTGCCGACAGAAAACTGTCGAGAGTCATTAACTCTTGCGTGGGATAAATAGGAAATTGAACTGCTGTTGAAGCTATTTGAAAAATAGAACTCAATGGATTCATTTTCCCTGTTGTTCGTGATCAATTTCAAATTATCATTACTGCGCGGAAACGCAACACAAACTTACATTTCTTGAACGAATGATCTTTTTTTTTTCTCTAAAATCGGGTGAACCTTGTCTTTAAGGCTGAGATTATTCGAATAAAGTAACGGCGAAGAAAAGCATCGTTAAAATCGAAATTAACTGAATTATGGCTAACGCGACATGCACACGTACATTAAAAAGAGAGAATCCGGAGGTGGAATGTCTATAACTGGAGGTGTAAATTAATACAAGAAATAGAATTTGGCAAGTTGTTGTTTTTTTTACGCTGGTTTACTGTAGGTTGTTTGAAATTGAATTAAAGGTTAAACTCCTTTGATCGAAGATACTAGGTCCTCATTACGTGAGACATGTTGTGGTAATATCGCACAAGAATTTATAATACGAAAGTTAGATAACATTAGCAAGAAAGCGAATTGACCAGCTGTAGATTTAAGGCATATTTGACTCCGCTAGATATAGTAAATCTTCGTTATTTATTGATGTGGTAATTTCTAAATTCATTTTCGCAATGGGGTTTAAATATCACAGTGTTTGGGAGAGCACTGAGTCAGTATCTAGAGATGACTCTGATTGTAACACGCAGCTTTTAGTGCTAATTGGACACGAACAGCGAAGCATTGGTTATCACTAGCTGAATATGACATAGATCTTGATGTGATATTGGTGGTTACGTTATGAAAACTCCTTAATCGCCGATTAAACCAATATGTTCCCTTCAAATAGTCGATGGTTTCATATGAAGGGAACTGTTCCCAAACGGTGAAAGTATGAAGGAAAGCGAAACCGACAATTCTTCAGAATTTTCTCACGAGAGAATTCTTGCCTAATGGTGCAAGCCAGTGGGGGGTGTATCGGGAATTCTGAGAAATTATAAGGCATAATTGATTTTTAGGACTTCTCAAGCTGCACAAGCCACGATAAACCTTTAATTTTTCGTGCGCGAAAACATGACTGAATTTGAGCCAAGTGGCAACATGGAAGGCTTAAGAAATACAAACAAGAAAGGCACTACCAGAGCTAAATTTTCAAGCGCTCATCAATGAGTCAAAACAATCACTCAAATCTTCGGGGCAAAGACATCCATCATTCTCAAATTGACAAGATTCATTTATCGTCATGGTAACGTGGTGTTCTTACACACGCTTTGCAGCCTTGTTCACTCCGAGAACAAAAAGACTCAATGTTTTTTCTTAAGCTTTCTCCAAACAAGTCTTTTAAATTCATCGTTAAATTGCAATATTCTGAAATGATTCGTTGTCGAGATAGTAGTATATCAAGTCGCTTCAGGAATAAGGGAGAAGATTGTGGAAATTTGTAGAGCGTGTTGTTCAAACAGGGAGGCAAATCTCGAAATGGACTTCAATAAAAACAATTATTACTTTCATCCGGAAATTTCAGGCTTGTTGACCAGAGGTGCCATAATTACCGCAGAGAATTACCACTTTCCATCCTCTTGGCACATTTGAATGTTTAACTAATTCGAGTTGTGTAAAATTTCCTCTTTGAAAGCCTTCATCAGCTGTAAAGGTGTGGTTAAATGAGGGGCGCGCTTTGTCGTGTATCAACTTTACAGAAGCCGGTGTTGTAACTTCGATTGTTGCCGTAATGCGTCGGGAAATTTCCGCCATGGAGCAGAAGAGTATTTCCCACGAGAAAAATAGTGAAAGTGTTGGCAATTATTAATTTTAGTCCGTAATCTAATACAGTTCTTGATTGTCTGTGATCATGTTGTTTTTGCACAAAATTGTACAGCCTGATCATGACAAAAGACAAGGATACATTCTCAAATACTCTATGATAAAGAAAAGATAGAAGTTTTTAAAGCAGATTATTGTTAAAATGAATTAAAAACATCGATTGTATCAGTATAAAGTTACCGGAGGGGCGAACATAAGGATATAAGATGATTACAACATCTGGCCAGTTGAGCAAGCATATACGTCGGTCTTGTAGACCACAATGTCCACGAGAAATTCAGCGAGAAATTATGTGTTAGAACTGAAGTTGAATATGAAAGATTAACGTAAATTTGGTCTTAACGAGCTTAAAAATATATAAATCATGAGCGGTATTACATTAAAATATATTGATTATTCACAATTTTGCAATTTATGATGCATTTACAATTTTTGAACAAAAAAAATACCATGGTACGTAATTGTTGCGTCCCAATTCACAATATATGAAAAAATTTCGTTTATGGGTAGAATAATTTGTAGAGTTGAACGGATGAGGTGTTTTCATTGAACTTTTAACTTAAAGTAGCCTATTCGTGATCCTATTTCTTTATGGCGACTCTAAGTTCTTCATGTTATCAAAGGTGTAATGTATATGCAAGTGTAAATAGGATATATTCACGAAGGCGCAATTGTTGCCGCGGGCAATAACTTTTCAGGTGTCAGCATCTTTAAGGCAGAGAAAACAATTTCTCTTAAGCATATTGCTCCTGAAGTAAAATCAACTTTGACACAGCAAGACAATTAACTAAACCAACTGTTAAAAGGAAAGATACAAACGACTCTTTAATTGAATTTTTGTCATTTTATTTGTGATGCATGAGGAACACTTACTGTCATCCAAGAGAACTCAGATCGAAAGTGCATGAAAAGCAAAACAAAAAAAAGAGGAAAACATCATCTTTTGGATACAAAAGTATCGATTGCTATTAAAAATCATTTCATTCTCAAAATGAAAGAGACGAGAGTTTTCGAGGATCATTGTCATTCACTTAACTTGTAGAAAAATATCGATACGTTTTTTTTCGGCCACGGCGACACGCTCGAACGACATTTATGAAAGGATTTTTTCACGCTTTTTGTCACAAATGGAGATTTAAGCTTTCCTCAAAGGCAAATGTCATTTCCTCTCAGCCCACCAGACTTTAAAAGTGCTAAGTTATTGTTCTCATAAATGTAGATTTAATTTGCGCCTTGCTTCACACGAAATAGTAAATTGTCCTCTCTTGCAAAAGGTCATCGAAGATATTAGCGAGCAAATTTAAGGATTAGCAAAATCCATTAATGTCTTCCGAGTATTCCTAGCTGATGAAGGGAAATATATGTCTCTTTAGCTAAAAAAAGGTAAGGTATCCAACGGGCAAGAACACAGAAAAATCGTCAATTTTTAGCTCCCCTGAAGCGTGCCACAAAACCAATTGACGCAGACTTAATGTTAAGGCAATTATGCAAAAAACAAGTGACAATTAAATCTTTCCACGTGTTTATCTTAGTGAGGCCCACGCACCTTTTGTTTCTTACTCAACGACCAAATCATAGCTTTGTTGAAGTTTTCTTTGTGAAAGGGAAAGACAAACCCGCATTATTGAAGAAAATGGCGGGCCATTGTGACATCGACGTAATCATGTGTCGCCACAATAGGTGCCTTATGGGCTAGTGTCTCCTTTTGGCGCAAGTTCCACATAAGACCAGACTTGAGTGAGTGGGAATTTGTCATCTGCAGTTTAAGAAACATATTTGCTTGAATGAGAAGAATCGTACAGTTCAAATTGGAAGAAGAATGGTGTGTGATTTTTGCGTTTATTATTCATCGGCCCTGTCTCGTTAGCGACAATGAGGCTTCAACCAAATTAGCGGCAGTAAACGAGCCAAAGAACGTCTTATTCATCTATTTTTTCTCTCAAGGTGATTGTCAGGTAACGGTTTAAGAGTGAATTTGATCTGCTACTAACCTAATTACTATTTCGACTAAGTGATCATTCATTTAACATTATTTTCCCTCTTGCGAGTTTCCTTTACTGCAATTGACTCGATTTTGGCTCCACTTTTATCGAGTTTGCAATAGTTTTCTTTATCTCGGACGTTATCTCTATCATTCCTGAGACTTTTGAAGTAAGAGTCTCCCGACTAGCTCGCTGGTTTTAACACTTGGACCATCTTTACCGTGACTAAAGGATTTGTAACGAAACCATAACGATCTGGTGAAGGTTTCGTTTGCCGTCCAAGTTTTTGCAGAATAATCGAGGGTAGTGCCGATAAACCTTCCGGGTCAGTTATGACTGTTGAGATCACGAATTCGCACAAATTGATAACCTTGAATCCAATTTCTTCCACATTCCGAATGTTTTGAGGTCCGTGTGAATAATTCTTCGAGGTATGTAAATATTTTTATGCCTGTCTTTCTCCTGGCTGTCATGCTGTTTCTTTACCCATGCACGGACAGGCTGAGACTGTTTGGTATCTTACAAGCAACTGTTTTATCGATTCCGGCCCATGAAACCCAACATGTCCAGCTTTAAACAAGCCGACGATATCATTCCAGGGTTCCTTTAAAAGCCATTCGAAAACGCCAATGCCTGCGAAGTATTTCACGTTATCAGTTAGACAAAACAAATTTTGGGTACTTAGCATCTTAATCCGTTCACGAGTATATTCTGGGAAGTCAGTTGAGCCAACAAACACTTCGGTAATGGTTTCTGCGTGAACCTTGCAGAATTTGACAGTGTGTTTAAACATTGAGGAATCCGAATACCTTACCAAACGAAATTATTACGCATCGTAAAACCCCAAAGCAATGATAACGGAAAGGTATTCTGTGCTGTAAAACTGGTCTTAAATTTATAAACCAAAGTCGTTTCGTGTATGTTTCGTACTTGGTGCACTCATGAATGTACAGGGAAAAGGGTAAATGGCTATCATCTAATAAAGAAGAAAAAGTGAAGATATTGGGTATTACTCCCTCATTAGCGAACTGAAAATATCACAAGGAAATTAAGATATATATATATACATATATTCATTTTACCGTTCATAGCATAAATACATTTTTCAAAGAGAAATAAAGGTGTTTTATTGTTGACCAAGTTACTCATAATATGTCCCAACTGAAGGGTGTGAAAGGTATCGGCATCTTGCAATTTTATAGTGTAGAATTTGGTTGATACGTCCTTATATTTTTTGACATAGAGTACTGCTGGCCAAAAGGAGTATTGGATCATTAATTACGTATAACATTAATGGTTCTTTACATATATTTACTCAGTAACGATCAAACGTTAACCCTTTTGACCTCTAAGAGTGACTGGCATCTAATTTCTCATTAAAACATCACCTCTTAATCAAATATTAAGGTCACGAGAACTAAAGTACAGAAGGCCAAAGAAGCTCCTGATTTTTCAACAAATTCTCCTTGTCAGCAACTTAGGAAATGTACATAGGACAGTATGGAGACTATAGATACTGATGCAGGGTGTTAATCAACCCAAATTAACCTGCGAAACTGTTCGTTAATTACTGCGAAAAGGGAGTGCGGCCGAAAATGAACAAGTTCAAATGAAACGATTAAATGTTACAGTACATTTAGAAACAAAAGGATGATTTACACTGCATACGAGACTTATCACATCAATTCTTCATTTCTCTTGGTTTAATTTGACAATTCTGCTTTTTGTAGCATTAATCAAGAGCTCTTTAAGGTTGCGATTATTTCTTTAACTCATATGAGCTTGATGCTTGATTCAGCATTAATACCCTAGTTGGAAACGAGCTACTAGTTACCCTCAGGTGTCAAAGGACTGAGTAATTAATGACTTCGTTAGCTAGACTTATCTTTTAGGTATCCAGCGTAAATAAAAACCGCGATGAAAAGCGCAGTAAAGCAAACAAATAAAAACAATGCAGAAGAATTTGTATCATGTTTGTCTGGGCAAAACTACTTTACGAACTTGAATGATCTTAGCCGTTGCCCTTTGATAGTTAAGAATATGTAATACAAACTTTGGCACGAAGATCATAACTCTTTCGTTGAGTATCGACAGAATTAATAAAAACCCACAGCTTCCCTGTTTTAAATTGCTTATGATTGATTTAAGGCTATTATTAAGTAAACGCCACGACCAAACGTTGCGGTTCACTTTTTCGCTCTGTCCATTGAGTCCTTCAAAGGTTTGTTTTACCGCAACAATGCTCATCAGTCACTGAGCAACAACAGTCATTTTCGATTCCACTGGCGGGTTGGACCCTCATTTTAATTTGCGAAACGCTTGTCGTAAACTTACCAATTTCCGCTTTCATGAACTCGTTTGTGTTTTGCTCCGGATGCAGAACAATAACAAAGAGTTTTGGAGCGAAAATACACAGCAGCAGTCCATATGCGGTGACCAGGGCTGTGGCACATGCAACTATGGTGGTGTAAAATCCTTCCAAGGACGAGTCGACTGGATAAAATGAGAACCAGGATATCAGCAAAACGTACATGGCGAAACCGATGTATCTGGCTTCGTTGAAATTCTCGGGAAGGTGCCTCGCTTTGAAGGCATAAATGGAGGCTACTAGAGAAAGGAAAATGAAATACGAGAACATTACGGCTCTTAGGATCATCCCGACCCGTGTGCGGAATGGCAGGCAGGTGTGGAAGACGTGTGTTTGTGGTCGTACCTCCTGATGTTCGTGTGGAGGATCTATTGCAAGCCACAAGACAGTGAGGATAACTTCGACTATGTTGAGGAGAATGACGACAAGAAATTGACGTCTGGGGTCCACGACGTAGTGCCTGAACCAGTTTGGGATAATTTTCGTTTGGAATGCTTGAACTAAACGGTTTGTCTTAAGGAACAGGACTGATACACACGCGGTGCTGACGAAGTATCTCCATGGATACACAATGCAGCAAACAACCTTACTGGGTTGTGTGAGATGAAGCAAAGTCAGCACAAAGCACAATGCGATGGTGAACAACAACAAGAAGCTCAGTTCTCGATTGGAAGCCTTTACCAGTGGGGTGTCCTGGTTCTTTAGGAAAATAGCGAAAGTCACGCATGTCCCAAATAAGCCAACCGCTGTTAGAATTGTGAATATCATCGCTGAAGTGTCGCTCCATGTAATGTTAATAACCGGTAAGGGAAGGCATGCCGTACCTTCTTCGCTAGACATATGTTGCTCTGGACATTGGGAGCAGTTCTGGGAGCTATATTCTGTGCTGATGCTACCGACTGGACATTTAATACACTCCCAGCAGCAAGATACAGTCGCAGTTTGCTTAGTTCCTGGAGGACAGCTTTGGCTGCATACAGACACCGGGTTCTCGGTGTCTTCCGGGTCACTCCACTTGATTAGTGTGCTGTTTATTGTGAGTTTATTGAGTGTTCCTCCGATCCATGTCCCTACTTTAACATTTGCGTATCGATGGCCTTGTTTCTGAAAGTTCACGATGTCGTATGAAGAAGAGAAAGGATCGCCATTTTTTGTAAACTGTATCCGTCCCGTGATTCCGTCAAATGTAACATTCCTGAGGTACCTTAAGGTGTCTCTAGGTTTGATGATAGATCGTGTGCTTGGACATATTCCCTTCTCTGACAACCCACTTGGCTCTTTGCATTTGTATATTGAATCAATGGCATAGGCTAGAGCGTACACAGCGTCAGTCAGATAAGGAATAAAGGCATTGTGTATTTTAGAAAAGGCCTCCTGGTCTACTTTTGCGTCATCATCACATGCATCTTTTGAGCCAGTTTTCCACGAGCAATTAAGGTGGTTTGTCCAAAAATCCTCCCACCATGGGTTAGCACTTAATCTGCTACCTTTCACCGTCATTCCTCTAAGATGCTGCTCCAGCGGCTCATCTGTAAACAAATATGGTCGTATTCCCAAAGCTCCTTTGAGGATAGCAGAGTTCTCTTGTAGGACCTCTTCTAAAACTGCTATGGCCTCGCTAATTAGAAACGTTCGATCTTCCAATCCCTGTGCGGTCGCTTCTGCTAAGAACCGTTTGGCAGGCTCGTAGTTGCTCCATAGGACAATCACTTTAATATTTTTGGCCACTTTGAGCTTTCTCACTATCGCTTTTATTTTCCCTTTGTATCCGGAATGCGTTAAGTACTCAGAAAATGCGATGCAAAACGTCCTGCGGTCGTATGCTTCCCTCTCTAAAGCGCGTAACCCATATCGACCGTACGAATGGTCGATAACGATGGCTGCGATGTACGTCCATCCGTAATGTTCTATAATATCCACCATGGCTTTTGCCTGCTCTCCGTCAGGGGGAATGGTGCGAAAGAATGTGCTATAGTAAGGAGAACTAAGTTCCTCACTGGTCGCAAACGGGCTTATTGTTGGTATCCCAGCCACTTGAAGGAGGCTGGAAACCAGAGTGCTACTGCTGGAATCCTCGGTTCCAATGACTGCTGATATGGGAGCTGTTAGATTATCTAATAGTATCTTTAACTCCGTTTGCCCCTCAAATAAATCATTCAAGTAATTACTTTTAACGAAGTCGTTTGCCGTCTCCATGGCTAAAACTGGTGTGTCGCAATAGTCTCGAATGTCAAATCCTAATGTGACGTTCGGGAGTAAGTTGGTGTCGTTGTTGATGTGGTCGATGGCAAACATGATTGCCTCGATGTAACCAAGTCCAAATGCGTAAAACTCGCCGCATTTGTCTTCCGGGTTTTTCACATGAAGTGGTAAGATGACTCCCAGTGTTACGTTACCGGGTCGATAGAATCGCCTTGGGTTGCTAATACCTGGTTCAAACTGAAGTGTCACCCACAACAACAGCAGATGAAGTCGGATCATTTGTTTGCGCACAGAGAAATCGTTCCTAGATAAATCAGTGATCTTGAAAAGCCTTTGATGAAAATTGATTTCCGCTGATAACTGGAGACCTATGTGAAAAACACATGATGATGACGCTAAAAGGTCATTACAATCTCCACTCAGATTTCAACCATTTTAGGAAAGAAAAGTTATTATTTTTCAGGGGTTTCTGCTGTTCCAAAAGAAAGACCCAATTGCTGTTGATTTTATGGCTAACCTATGCGTTTTTAAGATGCTTTCAGCATTTGCACCCCTTAATTATGGCGGTTCCTTCAAAGAGTTTCTTTGAATACCTTGTGTCCCAGAGAAAAGGACTTCCAAAATTGACGATCGAGGTCTTCAACTTTTATAAATAGAGTCCAATGATTCAAGTTTACTAAAGCGCAGGTGATACACTTTCTTGAATAAACAGAAGAGAAGAAAACTGTCATAGATAATTAGCGGATATTTAACTGAAATTTTGAAATCTTTTTTTTTTCTTAGCCAAGGTCAATCGACAGCGTGTTAAAAGCGGCAAATTTTTTGCCATACTACCCAGAAAAGAAAATTTATTTACAGCCTCTACACAACGCCTGGTTGGACCATGATCTCATCTCAGCGCTAGCTCTTAGCTTACACCCAGATAAAACTTACGGAATATCAAAATTTAAATATCAAAACAGAAGGGACAGACCTCTCACATTTTGATTGAATCACCATATTAAAGTAGATTTAGCCGGGTTTTTGTCGTTTGACACAAGTGGGAATTTAAAGCTTATCCAACCACTCTTTTTTCTCGCGCAAATCAAACGTCCCGAATGCTTTGTTATGGAAATGTTGCGCTTAGGGAGTCATCATCTTCTTAATTGTTTATTTTCTTTCGAATTGCGAAGATTCGAAGTGTTTGGTAGCGGATCACTTCCGTTCCATTTGCGATACGATTAGCTGAATCCTATCATGACGCATTACATCCAGAATAACAGTTTTCCAAGAGCTACTTCGTCTAATTTGCGTTTTCTGGAATGTTTTTTCCATGAGTATACTTTGTATGAGAGGAAAATTTCATGTACCATAACAAAACTTTCTTTTTGTTCTCACGTTAGCGGTGAAATTCGTTGATTTTTTTTCAACTGTCTTTTTGAACGATGAAATTTGCCCTTGCCTCTAGTATTCTCTCAGTCACTCCCTACTCGCTAAATTTTTAACTGTAGAAAACCTCCTGCGAGCGACGACGCCATGATTCGATGGAACCATAACTCGAGCTAAGAAACAAACACAGTCGAAAGGTATGAAAAAAACGGAATCGACAGCATCTTTCAGATTGACTTTTGTTCTTGTGGAACAGTATCCAGAAAGGGTCACTCAGTAATTTTTAATTTATCTGTTTAGTACCGTTTGATTAAAATGCGAAACTTAAATCTGTAATTTTTAAAACTACTGTGATATGAATCTTCCGAAAAGTTTTTCTTGAATTTTACTATACATTAATGTTTTTTCTGTCAATATTATCTCAAGACCTAAGCACTGAGGTGTTACGCCCTAAATTTTTGTTTGAAAACTGCGACTGTCAAATGTAATTTGACCCCGCAGCGAGTGTGCAGCGGTAATTGCATCTAAACATTGTCGAAACTGATTCTCTTGCGCATGACACAATAAGCACGTGGTAGTTTTCAATTTGTTACGCAATCGACTGAAACTTCAACTCACGACCAGGCTTATAATTAACAGCTGCTTATCTCTAACAGGTTTCTGGGAAATCATTTCCAACTGTTTTAGTTTCGTGTTCTTTGGCAACAAGTTCCGTGCAACAAGTTCCGTGGCTGTTGCCTTCCGGGATATTAGCTGTGTATCGTTTCATGAAGCTTGTTTGTTCTCGAAGAGGGCGCTCCAAAAATACACCCTGTCATTAAAATTCACTGCACGTTCTGCGATGTTTTTTTATGTTTACGATCTTATTTTAAGGACAAGGTGATTTTTTTTTTGCTGATGAACACGTACAACACCTTCTTCATTCAATTAAAATCGATTACTTGGAAAGATTACATCAACAAGGAGACTTATGTAAGCCTTAAAAAACAAAACAAAACGATATGCAAGAAAATCCAATACAGAATTTTTAACGAAAAACAGAGTTTGAAAACTTTATAATCCATTGACATCTTGAAAATTGAATGAGTTATAGCGTTTAAAACCGAAAAGCGGAATTTTCCACTGTCAGATGCTCGTTTATGCATGTTGAACGTTCCACAGTGACCAGCTCCGCAAAGTCTTACCTCAGCTTTAGTTCCGTGATGTTTCCCCCGCTTGCTCTTAGTGGATAAGTCACTCCCTTTTCAGTATGTAGAAAAATCAAACCTGTTTTGATTAATGATCGTCTATATGTGTTACTCTTCGATGTCGGTGTATTACTGTCAATCTTCAATATTGTTTCTTTCCAGGAAGTTCTTTGGTTATCGCAAGTCAAGCTGGGATTCACACTGAGCCGGAAAGAAGGGGAATGAACGAGAATGTTTGAATGATCTACATCTGTGTCAACCAAGTGCCACATTAACATATCGTTAATCTCGTAACTGTTTACGAAAGTGACATAACGGGAAGAAATTTTCCAGAGGAACTTGTTTCGACTCGTGACTTTGTGCAGCGAAACTGAAAAAGCCCGTTTATAATTGGATCGAAATAGGTTACTCCAAAAAAAGAAAGGTGTGAAAGTTAGAGATCGAAAATTCGTGTAGGAATAATAAACAAGATCTAGTGAGTTTCGACCGCGAGTTCCTTGATTCAATTACAATAGAGACGAATTAGTTCATCTGAAGGAGAAATTTATGTTAACGTTAAAGAAACGTCTCGTCGTAGTCTATCAGAGTCATTAACATTTCTGTAAAAGCAGGGTTAATTTGCACTTCGTTTTGAAATTATCGCCTGGGTAATAAGCAGTTATATGCCCTTTATTAAACACATCTACATTTTTAACCCCTCAGTTATCTCCAGGATCCTTTGTCTCCCCTTAGTCACCTGGGATGTATTTTCCGACGAATTGCTTCAATCTTGGCTAGGCCTCGAAGTGATAACAATAATGTAATCTCTGTGCCAGCAGAAGACAAAGAAATTACTTTCTTCCGTATGGTTACTGCCTTTTTTTCGGTTCGAAAACCTCTTCTTCCGTAATACAAATATTTGAACAGAGCGCCTTAAAAATTTTCGATGTTCTGCACCGAAAAATTCATCATCTTTCGTAGCTCACCGACCCTTGAGTTTGAGGAAGTTGGTATCAATTATAACGGATTATTAATATAAACATACAATTTGATTTTCTTGAATCCAATCAAAATGTGAAGGAATAGATTTCTTGTCGCTGCATTGTGTCTCTTTGATGCTGTTTGTCGTAGTTTCAGGTGTTGAAGTTTATTTTGTTTTTACTCAATTTGCGGCTAGGTATCAAAATAATTATGGAAATTTTAAATCTCTGGTTAGTTTAACGTTACCTTTTCTTTCGTGCGGTTTTGAACTGGTCACAGTTCGGTGTTGTGTGAAGGATCAAATGCGTTTTAGAGATTGCGAAGAGATGAACGTTAACCCGGATGATTGTAGATGCGAAATATCGGTATTGATATTATTGGAAATGAAATGAAATTATCTTGAACCGTGTAATTTGGATTGAAAGCTGATTGTAAGAAATCTTTCCGTCAGAAAACCAGCTGATTGTAAGAAATCTTTCCGTCCGAAAACCTGTATGTGATTTGATTCTCGAAAAGAATGATACACTTCTGATGAAAGTTACTCGATTTCTCAGTCTTTATGATCAACGAGAAACAATGTCTTACCTTTCGACTTGTTACCCTTCCCTTTAACTTGTAAACAAGAAGCAATACCAGTTGAGGAAAAGGATACCGCAGGCTTGGGAATTTCTTATTATTCAACGATGTAAAACGAACCAAAGTTTTCACGTATTTGAGGGTTTGTCAGATTAAACTACATTTTATTTCTTATTTGCTCTTCTTAATTAAAATCCACTCTATTATTACAATATGATTCGCACATGTCGCAGCTGCCATTTTTGTCAAAGGGAAGTGGTATTAATAACATGTCAGCTTTTGAATAGTTCGTAGTAAAAAATCCATTTGCGCCTTACTTATATTAATTTAAAGACGGGCCTTTGTAAATTTTTCTTTTCGTTTAAATGTGTTTTCTTTGATTGAAAGTGACATTTACAGAGCAAACAGAAAAACAGCTATCCAAAAAAATCGTTCGTTTTTATTACATTTGCATTTTTCTCAAAGTTGTTTGCTTAAGGCATCATCATCAATGTCGCTTAGAAATCTTCCTTAGTAGCTTTCTGTTATTTAAAAAACTGGACACTACGTAATTCATGTCAGCAATAATTATGTTTATGCCTGAAACATCCATATTTGCGTTAGCGATAAGGTGGCTCCACAGGGTTTTTGACCGCGCGAGATCTGGGTGCGAACAAAGCACGAGCTTGAAAAGAGTCAACATGCAAAACAAACATGGCGACTCGATACAATCGCACGATAGTTATCTGAAAAGGTGTGTGAAAAAACAGTTTAACGTGTTACAGTTTCTATCTGATTGAATCTAGGATTTCCAACAACTGCACCCGTAATATTCATTAGCATTCTCGCCTGAAAAAGAGGTCAACAGAAAACACCGTGCAAAAGACTGCCAAAAGGCGACAGATTTGAAAGTCCACGCTTGCTGAGATACCGATCTTGGCGAATTTCTACTCCATTACGTAATGTTTTGCGATAACGAAAATAGGGATCCTTCGAGTAAAATTTATCACTTTTCCTTCGGTGAAATTTCCTAAGATTCGCTGGACCGTTAAACATATTTGTCCTTCCTAATGCTTGTTGATAAAAAAAAAAATTCATAAGACCAAATTTGAGAGGAAGAAAACACAAAATTGAAAATAGCGGGAAGAAGTGCCTTTGTAAACCCAATTTTTTTCGACTTTTAAACGATCGGCAGGACAATTTTCAAAA